AGGGACCCGAGGGAGAGGTCGGTGTTCAGAGCTACAGGCAGCCGTGGAGGCCCTGGTGCATTTGAGAGCTCAGAGCATGAGAGTGGGCGAGTATGGGTGTGTGTGAGTCTCATAAGCTTTTCTCACGTGCCACTACTCCCAGGGTTCTCTGCGAAGCCTCAGGACAGCAGCCCCGTGACCCGGGCTCGCCATTCGCAGAGTCAGCTGTCTCCTTGCTTCACCCTGGGGACACTGTCTCCAGGGCTGCCTCCGGCCACGGTGTTGGGGAGAAGCTCCTGCCTGTTGAGGGCCACGCAGCTCTGGGGGAACTGAGGAGACCCCCTGGCAAGGCCTGAGGTTTCTTGCTTCCGAGGGGCCCAAACCTCCTCCCATGTGTCACGTCCTCTCACTGTGTCCGTCCCAAGACAGCTGTCCCTTAGGCTGCTGACTGGGCCATTTCCAGAGCTTTCCTGACAAGACGTTTTCCCCTGGGACTTGGAAGAAGAAAAGGAAAATCACTTTTTTTTTTTTTTTTTTTTAAATAAATTTCTTTCTTTCTCTTTCGGCTGCATTGGGTCTCCGTTGCTGCGCGCGGGCTTTCTCTAGTTGCAGCAGGCGGGGGCTACTCTTCATTGCGGTGCATGGGCTTCTCACTGTGGTGGCTTCTCTTGTTGCGGAGCACGGGCTCTAGGCGCGCGGGCTTCAGTAGTTGTGGCATGTGGGCTCAGTAGTTGTGGCTTGCGGGCTCAGTAGTTGTGGCTCACGGGCCTAGTTGCTTCGCGGCATGTGGGATCTTCCCGGAGCAGGGCTCGAACCCGTGTCCCCTGCATTGGCAGGTGGATACTTAACCATTGCGCCACCAGGGAAGTCCCCTCCTTGTATGTTTACTACATGCTGATTGGATTGCCTTTCTTCTCTTTCCCTCACAAGAGAAGATAATCACTGTCTTCCGGGACCTGAAGATCTTGTGCACAAGGAAGATGAACATGGGGTCGAGCCCTTTAATGAAAGGAGGAGCAAAGTGCCAGGGAGCGTGGAGGAAGGGGATAATTCTACTGGGGACATCGGGTCAGACTGCTTTTGATTTTTAGACCCAGAATCAGGAGTAAGATTTGACAGGAGGAGGTGACCGGGAATCCCAAGCAGGAGGTCCAACTGTGTTGAAGAGGTGGGAGCAGGAAAGTGCCGGGAAGGGGGAGGGAACTGTGAGTGTTCCATTGCAAGCAGACTCTAGAACTTGGGAGGGATGGTCAGAGGAAAGCCTGGGCCGGGGGAGGAGCCTTGAGTGCTGTGCTAAGTATAGTTGTCTTCTGGAGGCTGTCGGTTGTTGAGTGTGCATGTATGTGTGCTTTGATTCAATGCTTAATTGTGTGTGTACTGCATCCTGGGACATGTGCCGTATGCTGGAGAGGGCATCTTTTCTCATGGAGCATATATGTACTACAAGGAGGATAGAAAGGCACTACACAAATCCTTGCTCTTCCCTTTCTTTTCCTTACTAGCTTCAGTCATCCTAGCCTACTTTGTCTTCCAGTTTCCGAGCTCACTCCTGCCTCAGGGCCTTTGCACTTGCTGCACTGCCTTGTTTGCAGTACACTTCTCCTAGATCCTTGCATGTCTCGTTCCTTTTTCTTTAAAAGGTCCCCGCTCAAACAGGAGGATTCCTTGACCTTCTTTTTAAAAATAGCCCCCAGCTCCACTCTGGTCACTCTTCATTTACCCTGTTTTATTTCGTTCCTAACTTCCTTACACTAAGCGTGTAAAAAGGGTGGAGAATAGATGCCAAACATCAAGGTGGGAAGCAGGATGGAGGGAAGGCTGTTCTGATGTTGGAGGGGTTGAGATTTGGGGGCCAGAGATGGACTCCATGAGGGAGAGATTCAGCATAGATATGAGGACAGAGATAACTAATAAGGCCAGGGAATGGGTGCAGGATTGGCAGAGGAACAGGCTGCCCTCCGGTCCTCTTCAGGCTGGAAGGAGTGGAAATGGGGGGCGGGGGGAGTTCTTCTTTTTCTCAGCATCTTTTTTTTTTTTTTTTTTTTTTTTGTAAAGATGTCTGCTGACGGACAGGCTTCAAGAGTGAGACTGGGAACCTGAGTGGAGGTGGAGCTTCAAACCACTTCCTGGAGAGCAACTGCGAAAGTCAACTCAAAATAAAAGGCCATGAAAATACAGTGAAAGCCCAGCTGAATACATGAATTTGTAGTAACACAGTTAGTTTGTTTTTTCAGCTAATATTTGAATATCTTATATATGCTGGGAATATCTAGAGGGTTGGCAGAAGGAAATGTCTGGTGTCTCCCCACCCACTGGTACAGTGGCACCTTTGTAGATTCAGAAGTCTCTCCACTCTGGGTAGTGGCAGCTCCCACAGCCACATGGCTTGGCTTTGTCTGAGTGAGACAGAGGTGCTCCTGCCTCTGGGTGGGCGCAGGCCTTGTGGGGTACACAGCTTGGAGGGTGCAGCATTGGGCTGGGTTGCAGTCATGGGCAGTGGCCCAGAACCCAGCAGTGAACAAGGAGGACATGGCCCTCAGCCTCCCAGGCCTTACAGTGTGGAGGAGGAGACAGACAAGTAAACTGGCAGTTAACAGGTAGGATAGTTGAAAGGCTTCACAGCAAGACTTAGCACCAGAGCCTGGAAGTGGCTGAGGGTTTGGGAGTGACTCGGGACTGGGTTTTCAAAGCATCAAGAGCAGATGAACACATCCACCAGAGAGGCTCTGGGCGTTGCTGAAACTGCCGACTCCATGGTCAGGTTAGGTCTTTGGTGTGACAGATTGGGAATGATGTAGTCAGTGGATGCCGAGGAAGACCAGGCTTAGGGGCAGTGGAGGAGACGGTTGGAGGAGAGGGATTTGGCCAAATGGGTGCTGAAATAATTGAGCTTGCTGAGAAGAGGAAGGGAAGAAGTTGGCATGAGACTGCCAGGGACATACATCTTAAAAATAGAGGATGTTTTTGTCTGTCTGGACTGCTGTAACAGAATACCACACAGACTGAGTGACTTACAAACAACAAACATTTCTTTCTTTCAGTTCTAGAAGTCCCAAGTCAGAATGCCAGCATGGTTGGATGAGGGCCTTCTTCTGGGTTGTAGACTTCTGTTTGTGTCCTCACCTGGTGGAAGGGGTAGGGAGCTCTCTGGATCCTCTTTTATAAGGGCACTAATCCCACTTGTGAGGGCTCCACCCTCATGACCTACATACCTCCCAAAGGCCCCACCTCCTACTGTTGTCAACATTAGCCATTAGGATTTCAACTAGCAGTTTTGGAGGGATACAAACTTTCAGACCATAGCAGAGGATATTATTGAAACTGCCATCTCATTCTGGCCTGGGGAGCAGGAAATGCCTTGCCCACCCCCCCCCACCCCGACTCCTTCCTGGCCCAGTGACCCTGGGATGAGTATGTGGGTGGCACAGGCTCTGTTGGGGAGAAAGTTGAGAGGCAGAGGCAGCAGGGGAAGTCCAGGGCACGGGAGAACTCTTGTGTGTGGACCAGGAAGTACTTTGCTCAGATGGAACGGGTTTCAGGGGGTGGTGGGGTGGCTGACAGAGAACTCGAAGGTGCGGAGGGTGAAGATTGACCCGGAGTGCACTTGGGGAGGGATGGGGTCTGTAGGGCTGCCTGTGATGTTGTCTGAGGACTTTGATGGAGTCGCAGAGGAAGGTGGAAGTAACACAAAACCGGAATTCTCAGTCTTCCCCCACCCTCCCTCCTCCCTCCAGGGCGTGTAAGGGAATTTTCTCGTGGTGTTGTCCATGCAGGGTTTTCCTTTCCTGCAAGGAGCTTTCTGTTTTGCATAGCTTCTCCCTGGGAGTGCTGAGCAGCCCTGCGGAAGGACCGGCTCCTGGGCGGGAGTTGCTGTCGTGCCTCTGAAACTAGTGCTTGCTGCTGTGGCAATGAGTGGCTGGGCTTCTGTCCTCAGGTTCGGGAAACCCCGACCTGGAGGTGCCCATGGTTTACTCCTGGTATTACCATGGGGCCATTGGCCCGGGAAGCACCGTGAGGGCTCGGCCTCTTGGGCTGCAGGGCCAGGCTGTGGCTTCTGCGGTGGTGTTGCGTGTCTGTCCTGGACCAGTGAGGCCAAGCTGTCTTCTGACCAGAAGCTGAGATTTCTGACAAGTCAGGCCCCGGATGAGTGGTGAGTAGCCTCTCCTGGTAAGAGGCGCTCTAAGGAAAATGCCGTCGGTCACTTCCATTTATGGTTCTGTTACTTAAGCATCATTCTCAGAGCACCGGCCGGCAGCATGCCAGCCTCCCGGCTGCCTTCCCCCACGGTTAATTAACTTCCAGTCCTAATGGAGGAGACAGCCAGTGACTCCGTAAGTGTAAAGTCTGGGCCACGTGACCCGGGAGCCCTGAGGCAGGGGCATCTCCCGTCCTGAGGAGTGCCCAAGGAAGCTGTCCAGAAAGGGTTTACAGTGGAGGCGATGTCTGGGCTGCGCTCTGAAGGATGAGCAGTTAAATTGGGTGTGTGGCATTTCAGCCATCCCACTTCTCAGCCCGCGTCTCACTCTTTTGGGGACATTATGCCTTCAGCTATTTTTACGTGTCAATATAAGAAGCAATTATGTATGAAGTAGCTGCACTTTCTGCCTCCCAGAATTTGCCTAGACCCGTGCAACAAACTCTTCTTAGATCCAGGAGAAGTTTGCCTGTTCTAATGATGCAGTGCGCTTACTGTCATTAGTGAGAGCTTTGAAACCCATTGTACTTCCTTCTTGGCTGCCAGGAATCTTAGTACTAACATTTGAACTTAGAAAAGTTTTCTTTACTCAGACTTTTCCTTGTAAATCCTTTTACTCCTTCTTTCTAGTCCCCAGATCCCTTTAGGAATTTTGCCATGCTCTTTTTTTTTTTTTTTTGCAGTACGCTGGGCTCTCACTGTTGTGGCCTCTCCCGCCACGGAGCACAGCCTCCGTACGCGCAGTCTTAGCGGCCATGGCTCACGGGCCCAGCCGCTCTGCGGCATGTGGGATCCTCCTGGACCGGGGCACGAACCCACGTCCCCTGCATCGGCAGGCGGACTGTCAACCACTGCGCCACCAGGGAAGCCCTGCCATGCTCTTTTTACTGTTGCTTGAGTGGGTTAGGGTTTTGCTGTGATAGCCCAAGCTTTAGGTCCGTTTTGGAAGCAGGCGAAACAAATGACTGTGGAAATGGAAGCGTGCTTTTACCTGTTAGTGTTCCAGGCTGTCCAGAGCCGGGGTTTTTCCTGGTTGCTGAGGACAGATGCCAGCTTTGGGGTATTTGGGATGTTCCCAGAACCACCATTAACCACCGGAGCATTTGAAATGAATTTGGAGATTTGTTTTGTATCAGGGTGCTGGTTAATGGCTGACCAAGCAATCTCGGGGGGCTCCTGTGCCTTTTGATTGCTGGGGAATAGGTCTGCTCTGGCCCAGGTGCCGCCTGAAGCTGATGATCCAGAGCCATAAATTGTCAAAACTGGACAGGACCAGATATCAGCCCAGTCCTCTCATGTGATAGATCCAGATGGGTTAGGGGATCCTTTTGAAGTCACCTAGCTAGTCAGTGAGATGAGAACCTTGGTCTCCTAACTCTCATTTCCGGGCCCATATGTATTAGTCTAAGGATTCTTAGACCTTTTGAACTGCTCACTTTTGCAAAGAGCATTGAAAGGGAGACTTTAGCCATTATCTGGCTGTATGACCTTGGGCAAATTGGTCTGACTGAACCCAGTTACTCATTGGTAAATGGAGATAACGTATTCCTTACTGCTTCACAGAGTTAACCTTCTCTCATCCCAGGTACAGACACATTGTAGGCACAACCATCGTTTTCTCCTTCCCCATTTCAAAGGAAGACAAAGACGCGCCTCTTGGGCTCAGGCTGCTCTCTCCACCTGTGCATCGCATCCCAGCCCTTTCCCTCGCAGCTTCTTTTTTTGTAACATCCTTCGTGCCCGCTTTCGCTCTGCGTTGTGTGAACTTCTGGAGGGTAGAGATGGTTTTATTTGCGGTTGTATTTGCATCTGGGATATAGTAGATAATTTTTTTTCAGCTTTACTGAGATAATTGAGATAATGTTTAACTGAATAAATAAATGCCTTAAGAGGTAATGTATGCTGAGTCCCTCTCGAAGCTATATATGTTTGTGTATGTATGTTCAAGTGCTCACATACATAAATCCATGTATGTGAGGTAAGACTGTTTCTCAGCCTGTTGCTGAGTCGATGTCTGTGGGAAGACAGCGAATTCCCTGTCCTGTCATCTCTGCGGATGAAGATTAAGGCTGGGGCTTCCTTGGTGGCGCAGTGGTTGAGAGTCCGCCTGCCGATGCAGGGGACACAGGTTCGTGCCCCAGTCCGGGAAGATCCCACATGCTGCGGAGCGGCTGGGCCCGTGAGCCATGGCCGCTGAGCCTGCACGTCCGGAGCCTGTGCTCCGCAACGGGAGAGGCCACAACAGTGAGAGGCCCGCGTACCGCAAAAACAAAAAACAAAAAAACATTAAGGCTGATTCTGGTCCTGCTGGACTTCCTTAGGGAGTGAGAATAAGCAGTACAAAGTGTAAAGCTCTGGTAGGGAGAATGGTTTTGTTAGATGGAAATAGGGCAATAATAAAACGGGAGGAGACAGCTAGTTTTTGTGAGACATAGAGTAACTGAGTTAATAGAAACTAGCTTCTGATATGGAGATAACTCTGATTCTGACTTGGAGCATATTAGCTCTAACACTGCCCTTTGAAATGCTAATCAACGGGCGATTTAATTATTCTCTATTATTCTACCTTTGGAGACTGGAAGCAGGGGGAGCTGCTAAAGCCCTGAAGAAACAGCTCTGGGCCTGGAGAGGGGTCTCCACTTTGTGATTTGAACTTAGCAGTATTCAAAATGGTTTAGCTTCGACTCTAAACTTTAGAGCAGTGCTTCACAAATTTAAATGTGCACACAGATCATGTGAGGCTCTTGTTAAAATGTAGATTCTGATTCAGTAGATCTGGGGCAAGGCCCAAGGTTCTGCATTTTTTACAGGCTCTCATGTGGTGCCGGTGCTGCTGGGCCACAGACCACTCTGCGTAGCAAGCGTTTAGAAGGAAGTAGGAGGCCTTCCAGAGTTAACTCTGCTATTTCTTTGGTCTGGATTCCTGGTTACTTCAACAGCAGAAGGCCTAAAGCCAAGGCCTTGGCTTGGAGAAAGGAGACCCTGTGAGAAACAGTTCTGCCGTCTTCTAAATAGTTTGTCCCATCTTGGGAGTCCCAGAGAGACTGTATCTTAACAGTAGAATACCTGATATTCATGAAGATGATTTGGGATTCTAGACAGTGGACTGTCTAGAAGGCAAGCAGCAAAGTATTCATTAAAGATTAGATGTATTTTCATAAATGATTGAAACCAGTTAGCCTTCCATGGATAAGTTCAACAGTCTAAAACAACCACTTACGAGGAAGTCTTCATTCCTGAAAGATAAACACTTTACTGTAGTACTTTGCTAATGGGGTGCTCTTTGCAACGTGATCTCTTTGTCTAGACCAGCAGTTAGCATGCTAGGCTGCTGTTTCCCTGAGAAGTATACATGGAATCTGCTGTTGCATTGAATCCTGTTTCCATCACTTATTGGTACTGAGATTTGGGGCAAGCTATTTCCCGGAGCCTGTGTGGCCACCTGTAAAATAGTCATAGTATCATTTCACCCCAGGATTTTTTAGAAGGTATACAAAAGCTTTTGGCGTAGGCACCATCTGTTCACCATTATACCCCTCTCCCCTCCCCATTTCGATCCTGGTTGGCAAACTTGCTGTACCATTTGGAGAATAGTGATTCATGTTGGCTCCCTCTCACCTGAACCTCTTCACTGGCCTCTATTGGTAAGAGCTCTTGTGAGGTATGCGCACACCTTTACAGACTGTTGCCAATACCTGGAGCTCATAAGGAGATGGGAGCAAATACTCTTGACTTCTTAGAATAGACCAGAAGAGTTGAGTTGAAACTTTTTCACAAGGCAGAAACAATGGGTTTCTCACAAATGGGTTGTCCGTTAACACATTTTATGTTAAATACACATGTCTTGTGTGGGAATAAGTTAACAGTGATCAGTGATTTGTCCCTGGGTCTCTTGCCTAACACATGGTCCTAGTTTCAGACTCTTGCGTCTGCTGTGTTGTCTTATCTAGCTGACGTGGTGATAAGACCTCAAGCTTAGTAAGGGTGTGGCTGGAGTAGTTCAGCTTCCTTTGTGCTGTGTAACATTTGAATTGCAGTGGCCTTGGTCTGGAGTGTGGTTTATCCCTGGTGAGGTCAGGGACACCAGATACACGTGGCTTTGCTTCACTCTTCCCTCCCAGCTTTGCTTGCCTGGCTCTTCTTTGGATTCTTACCTTTAGAAGCAGAGAACTTGGGAATGCAGGTTCCTGTGCCCTTCCCGTCTCTGAGCTTTTGTTTTCTGGCTGCTCATATTCTGTATCCTGCTGTTCTTTGCTCAGACGTTGCCAAAACAGTCTTTAAGACTGATTCTTGAAAGACTTCAGCTTTGACTTTTCAGAACTAAGATTACCTGATATTCTCATTGGCCATAAGGTAGTGTTTCCTCATCAGGTGTTAAACCCTTACCACCTTATTCTGTAAGCTCTGTAAATAAGTTCTATCAACCTAATACACATTATACATTATTAGTATATACTACTACTATTTTTATATTACTAATACTTTAACTTTTCAGTTCCTGTAACTGAAACCATCTAGCCAGTGACCCTGATTTAGATATCCTATTTCAGAGTTGCTTCTAACCTGCTGTATGATTTTAGGCAAATAATTTAACAACACTCACTGGACCTAAATTTACCTTAACCTGTAAAATCAGGATTGGATCAGATCAGTTTTTCAAACCATTCTTTGGAGTTGGTTGGGGTAGGGATGGGAGCAACAAGAAATCTCGAAGGGTAGAACCCCAGGCTCCTCATTCAGATGATTCTACGTTGCGTTTACTTTTAGATTACATTAAGCAAGGACACTTAAGCTGTATCACAAATAGGTCCAAGCTCACGATGGCACTTGACGTCATCTAAGCCTGGTTTCTTACTGTTTTCACCAAGGCTCTCGGCTGGCCATCCCATGCTCCTGTCCCTTTGCTTCTGCTAGTACTGTTCCAGCAGCTTGTGGATTATCTGTAAGCCTCCCTTCCCCATCCAGGCCTTCCCAGTCTTCAAGAGGCCCTAATGTAAAAACGTCCTGTCCCTTCAAGAAACCTTCTCCAGGGACTTCCCTAGTGGTCCATGGTTAAGACTCCGTGCTCCCAGTTTAGGGAGCCCCAGGTTCGATCTCCGGTCAGGGAACTAGTCCCACATGCTGCAACAAAGAAAGCCCACGTGCCGCAACGAAGATCACGTATGCCACAACTAAGAGACCTGGTGCAGCCAAATAAAAACCAGACTTCTCCAGTTAGTTGTCCATCTTCCCCAAATACCTACTCTACTCCGGTGGCTCAGTACACTCTGCCCTTCTGGCCGTTGTTTGTGTGAAGCTCAGAGGGGCAGGATCCTGGTTCCTCCATTCTGAAACACCATAATGCCTTGCCTTGTATCTTTCTAAAGTGCCATGGGCTTATCATATGGCTCAAAACCTCTTTTCTCTTTCAGGATCGAATCATCAATTTAGTTGTTGGCAGCTTAACATCCTTGTTGATTCTAGTAAGTATCTTTGTGTCTCACCCAGGCTCTTAGCCCAAGTTTTGAAAACCTTAATATTGTGGTTCAATCAACTCTCCAAAAAAAAAAAAAATAGAAGGGGCCAGTACATGAGCAAGTGGAATATTCCAATCCTAGTTAAAGTAATGCTTTCAATTTTGTTGACACTTAAACAAAACTGCACTTGGTAAGTGGAGTAGCTAATTGATTTCCACTCTCACCCCCTGGCTGAAGGTGAACTAGCACAAATCAAATAACTTGGTCTCCTGGGTTTGCCTAGTAAATCTGTACTGTGTCAGTGGCTGCCAGTAACTCTCTTCTGTACATAACCCACAGCTTCCCCATTTCTGCTCAGGCCTTTACTTTTATTTTGTTCTTGAAGCATGTTCATTATCCTTTGGTTTTAAAAGATTTTAATTTTTCATCCTGTATACTACAGCTTGGTGCTATCACAATAAAATAAAACAAAGCTACCTTTCCCGGTCTGAGAATGACATTTCTTTGGCACATTTTCATTAAATATAAGAGGATTTTAGTGAAGTTTGTCTCCATGACTTCTTAATAAAAAGAATGGGTAAAATGTTATATCTAAGGTAGAAAGAGAACTATAGGATATCAGAAACCTTTTTAGAATTTTTCATGTTAAGCAAAAACAGTTTTGGTTATATTTTTTTGCTGGAGTATTCAAAATAACAAGAAGTTTAGAACTTTTCAGTGTAGTTGTTAATCCTGGGGATGAGGTTTAAATGCTATCTAATCTTTGATAAAGAGGTTATTTTGAGGTTGGCTAGTTTTACTGTTCTGTGGTGGTTTGTCTCCTCTCATAAAGGAGGAAAAGGTTAGGAAGGTTAAGTAGAAGTACTAAAAGAAATAGCACAATTGAAGGTATTTTAATATTTTATTAAATATTAACATTCCAGAAGGCAAACGTGGTGGTAGATATCATTTTACAATGTGAAGCATTTTATACTATTACATTGCCTAAATGCCAGTCTAACCAAGTCTGGGAATTACTCCTGAGGCCTGACATAATTTCTCTTCATACAGGTAACGCTGATCAGTGCTTTTGTTTTCCCTCAACTACCTCCAAAACCACTGAATATATTTTTTGCTGTCTGCATCTCTTTGAGTAGTATTACTGCCTGCATACTTGTGAGTACTGTTTAGAATTTAAATTCAGTATCCTTGAGGGCTGAAGGTGCCTAGGTAGGGCAGAACTCCCAGCTCTGGTAGACAATCTGTATAAAAGGGTGTCTCTAATTATATGCCACCCCTCTCCCCCAAAGCATGTCACAATTCTCAATGTTAAATTGCAGAGTTTTTTTTGAATCTGAGTTTATTTATCTCCTAAATCCCAGAGTTGTAACCTTGTAACCCTAAAAGGAAACTCCGCTCCCTTGATAGCAAACAAACAAAAAAAAGACTTAGGTCGCCAAAGATTTGATGTGATGTATTTAATTCATCTTCCTTCAAGAACTACGTACAAAGCCCAACAGGCTTTGGGAAATGCCATTACTCCTCTGTTTCTAATAATTACAAAACTAGTTTGTTTTAATCTTTGAGCTTTATCTCCCCAAATGAAAGTACTTAACACCAAAATCTCTGGAAACCTAAAGCTACAGTTGTACCTTTTTCACAAGAATGTTCGGTTTTACTACAAAGAAGCCTTTCTTTTAGGTAAAGAAATAAAGATGGTGGTGGACTCCCAGTTGGGTATTTGCCAAGTGTTCGGTCATTTCATTAGCTGGCTGTTGTTTTCATTTCCCTTGAGGAGAGGCAGAATTAAAGCAGTAAACTCTTAAAGATAATTGTTCTGACTCACATAAGGTTTAAATCATAATAATGGGCTTATCTGAGTTAAAGTTAAACCAGAGGACATTTCCCAGATTCAAACTCACTGATTCTGCTATATTCCTATGACCTGAGGGAAGAATTGGCCCGTCCCACTTTGAGAGCCTTGGGAAAAAAGCTACCAGAGATGCTCTCCTCTCACTCCCAGCCGAAAGCCAGAAGTGACTGACATTGATCTAGTTGAAACCAAATATATGCACGTGTAAAGCCCTAGTTTTGTTGGCAGTTTGAATAAGTTAAAAAGTTGTCCTCCCTTCCAGTACCTAAAAGAGCTGTACGTTTTACTCAAATATATTTAAAATATCTGTTCTTGGATGACCTGCCAAATGACTGTGGACTCTTGGTTTAAACATTGAACAAGGTTAACTGAGAATGCAAGAATAAAGTATGGTCTTGGATATGGAAACTCACTTGGTACCACTTGAATTATAAAGAATAAGAATAAAATTCTGGCTGCATTAGTCTCAAAATTCAGGGGGAAAAAGTATATATGGATAAAATTGGTCACAGTGGAAAAGAATTAGTTGTATTTTAAATTTTTAATATTCAGCCCAGTGCTATTACTTAAACTTTTATTTAATTCTTCTTCTTTTAGATCTACTGGTATCGACAAGGAGACTTAGAACCGAAATTTAGAAACCTAATTTACTATATCTTATTTTCTATCATCATGTTATGTATATGTGCGAATTTGTACTTCCATGATGTGGGAAAGTGAGTCTGCCAAGGAGAAATACTTACCAGGTCTCTTCAAAGCTATATATTTGGACTTGAATAAGAACTGGATAAGGTATGCTGAACAATCTCCTGCATAAGTCTGATACATGATTTTCATGTTAATTTTAAATCTAAATTCCCTCTTGCAGGGGAGACATATCCTAGATCCTTTGCTTTTTCTTTAAGGAGCTGATGTTGCACTTAAACATTCCCCCTTAAAGCTCAAACAGCACAAGTCATTTTCACTTTTGAAATTAAAATTTTTTATAATGGAATTGCATGGTGAAAGGCTATGCAACAAACAATCTTGCATTTTAAGACAAATACTCTTTTATTTCTGTTAAACTGAATATACAATTATTGTTCCCTAGGCAACCAACTTTTGCTTATAACTACAATTTCACGTTAACAAAAAACACAAGACGGTGAAAAGACAACTTTGATTGTGTAAATCTAATTACAATAATAAATAAAATAATTTATACAAGTTTGTTTTGCCTTTTCTATAGGGGTCATATTCATTAAAGCCCTAGAGGCTAATTTTGGCTTGACCTTCTCTGGTATAGGAATGACTCTTGATTTGTTTCCTTTCATTACAGAAGCAAATTTTGTTTTTTTAAATTGCCTGAGAGGGAGAAGTTATATTATATCAAACCCCCATCAGTTAATGCACTAAGTGAACGGCAAACTCTGATCCTCTCCTCAACTATTTCCTGGGTAACTTACATAGCAAGACATGTAATAAAAGGTCATGGCATAGGATAGGCAACTTTACTTCCTTTCCCATTTAGTTTTACTTCAAAGTGCTAACTCTGTAAACTGATGACAGTGGGTTCTGAGGGGGTGAAAACTCTTAGCTTCTCATGAATTTTGTCTTCCTATTCTCATCCATATTAAAACAAAGAAGCCTGTAGTGAATTTTCTTAATTCTCTTAATGCTTTCCTCTTCGCCCAGCCTAAATCAGCTCCCACTGCCAGCAATGGGTAAACCAAAAGTAACCACCACACCCCAAGTCTCAAACTACTTAGAAGATAAGCTTTGTGGAGAAGGTCACTGGTAAGCTCTAGACCATGGTGATGTAGCTTCTCTGAAATATAAACAGGCCTATCTGAGACTGGATAGAGTGCCATGTCTGATCTTTAGAGATGAATATTACTGCTTTTAAAACAGTAGTTAAGCTTTGGTGATTTTAAACTTCTCTCAGCTAAAGTGAATGAAATTCCCCGCTGACAAGTAACACTGATCACTAGGATCTCTACAGTTAAGAGAGACCCCAGTGGTCCACTCAGCTACACTGTCATAAGACTAGACCTCAGATGATATATTTAAAAGAGGTAAAAAGTCATAGCAGCAACACTGTATGTGGCTTGAGCACTGTAGCTATTTAAAAGCCAGAGGAATGGTAAATTAAGCCTCTTGGGGGTTGCTCCTATTTCTTTGGAGATGTTGTAATTAACAGTGTGGCTTCTTTGCCTGAACTACCTGTTTCTAAGAATTACCTAATGACAGTTTACCAAATCCTCAACATCTTTTGAGTCTTCTGAAACAGGACTGCCAAGAGATGATCCAATGATGTTTGATTCTTCTCGATGATGTTGGAATATGGGATCTGTAATGAGATAAGTTTCAAGTTAATCTTAAATATATATATCCTCTAATCCATGTCAAGAATTTAGAGTAAGTGTTCTTCTACCAAAGTGAAAATTCAACAAGCAGATTTCCACCTTAAGATTTATCAGGCACTCGAAGGAGTTACAGTACCTGTTAGTGTTGTCAAAGGCAAGACAGATTCAGTATCTATAACATCAGATGTCTGGATAAAGCCATGTGGTGAAGGAACGATAAGTATCGTTTCATCATCAATTGTTGTTTGATCAACTTGTTCTTCTATGGTAGGAGACCCTAAATCCTAAGTAATAATAATTAAAAAAATGAGATTCTGTCTCATATTCCTTATTAGTTTTCCTTAATTCTCCAAACATATTTAGGCTTGAAGGGACTTAACTTTCAAATATTATCCCACTTTAAAGTTAAAATTAAAAGAAATCAAAGTTAAGGTCTTAAAATGGACAAAAGTAATAACCTCATACCCCAATGTATTACATACTAGCAAAAAATAATTTTAAAGAACCAATTCAGCTATAGACCCTGAATATAGAAGAAACAAAGCTGTAACACTGTGGGATGAGGTTCCTAAACTGAACCGCAAAGACCTGTTACAAACCATCCTCAGGAAAATGCTTCCATGGGTTCCAACAAACATTTCTCAGTCTATAGGGTGTGGAGAAGGAAAGGTTTTAGTGAGGAACTGTGGTAAGAGCAACACTGCTGGTTGAATGATACTTCAGGTCAGGTAGGGGTTTGTGCTTTATTTTGTGTGTCTAAAGAAAATAGGAGGTACTGAGGACATCTTTCCATAAATGATTTCTAGGCTTTTCCCAAACTGCAGGTTTGAGGCTTAAGGCTATTTCCTTAAGTGCAACTTACCTCAGTAACATAAGCCCGGGTTAAAGGGGAGGGTGCGTCCTCTTGTTTAAGGTGGGTGCCAGAGATTTCTTCTTCTGTTCTGACCATAACACTGTTCATCAGTTCTGTGCTATTTTGGTCACTGAATCTGGATATATGAGCATCATTAAATGATGGCTCTACAGTAATCTTAGGCTGATGAATTTCATCTGGGAAAGTGTCTGCTTCTAGGGCATCTGGAGGCTCAGGAAAATCAGATGAGTGAATTTCACTATCCACTGTCAGTTCTGCTTGCGATATGGAAGAGGTGATGTCTTCTGTGGCAACTGTCTGAATGATGACTCTTGGTGTGTGACACTGCACTGTGACGTTGTCACTTGTGTTCAACAAATGTTCTGGCTATAAAATGTTAAAGAAAACGATCAGTGGCAAAATGAAAAAGTACCCACCAGACTAAAGTTATAGACAACAAATGATATTTATAAGTGGTACCCTATTGTCCCCTTCATGCCTCTCTCTCACCTCTGGAACTTCAGTGTTCTTATCACTGTTTTTCTAGAACCCTATTCTTTACACAGTGGGGCCTCTGCTCTCGTAATATCCCTTTTCCCCTAACGGAAGTCCATGTCATGTAAGGAGACCCAGGGAACAAGGGATGTACCCCAGTGAAGGTGTAAAACATTGCTCCTGGGACAACAGTGGTAGGAAGAATTGTTTAAATATATGGACTACATTAGTATTGGCTCTTATATTTTGTATCAACTAATCCTGGTCCCTAACAGGTATCGATACTGAAGTGTTTGAAAGGAGCTCAAAATTTATTTCCCCCTCCCCCAAGATATTGTAATTGAAGGCACATGAGTCCATCTCTGGTGGTACTTATCAGTTAGCGAGTCTTTTCTACAGAAACTAGAAAAATCAAGGAATTTATGGAAGGTGACATACAGATAAAGCATGGACGATGATCTGTTCAGGAGAAGCGGGAGCGGCAGCCGCCAGGGTTACTGTGGGACTAGCAGTAAGAGTTAGCGGAAGACCTTGGCTTGAGCTTGTTTGAAGTAGGTAGGTGCCTGGAGTGCCAGTGGGCTGTAAATGGAAAGACTGAAGGAAGAAGAAAAATAAGATCAACACAGGTGCATCAAACCACTGAGTAAGTACACTTAGTACCCATTAAGTCTAGCTTTACATCCAAAACGGGGACTTTAATTTACTAGCCACAAATGTACTTACCAATCAGGAAGGGGCAAATAATAAAATGAAGGGTATAACATCCTGGACCATTTATCTGTTGTAAGTCATTTCTCGGCCTGCAGCTTTAACAGAGGAAAGGCCTGATCCTACTCTTCACTCCCTGTATGTCTATGGTCTGGTCTCAGCTATCTGTTTCAGTCCAAGACATGGTCTCATAAGCCACTGTTTCTAGCACAGTAATCCAGCATGCCTCGTCTCCCCTCTTTATCCCTTCTCTGCAGCACATAAAAACTAGCAGTCTCCCAGTTAAAAAAGCTTCACATTTTCCAAAAGGCACTATGGCAGTGTTTACTTACTTGAATAGATTTTTTTCATAGTATAATTTTAGGAAATTTTTTTATGTTCAGAGAAAATGTATAGAAATAGCAATTAGTGTTCATTGAAAGAAAAAACTTCTAATTGAAAAGCTGTTTCACTGACAGTACGTTTATCTTTTGAGATCTTTTATGAAAGTGTAACAAAACTATTGAACAACAACACACGTTTCACAACCATAAGCTTCTACGTGATAATCTGAGTTTGGTTTATCCTAACACTCCGAAGGAAAAGTTTTTGCACTTAGAATAGAGCTGGAAGTTAAAGTCGTATAGCCTGGGTTCTTTAGTCTGATGTGGTCTTGTGGACTTAGGCCACAGCAGCTCTCCTGGCTACTGACTCACTGAATCTAGGTTTCTGTAATGCTAAAGCAGATACAGTAACTACTTGTCATAGAAAGGTTTGTTGAGGATTAGAAATGATTGTGATGGTGCCTGGCACACAATGGGGACTCAACTCACTTTTTCCCCTCCCTCTCTATAAAAGTGAAAGCTAGCTGTTTTCCTAAAGGTTGTATTTATTAATCACATATGATCAGGCAGTATAATAAATACTTTACATGTACATGTATATCATATACATGTATTTTATTTAATATGCTTAAATACATTTAATGCTCATAATTTTTTGAAGCTGAGGCACTATTATCATGTTTTATTTATAAATAAGAGTCTCTAAGTATTTGATTGTGACCCTGTAAGTTAAAACCTGAACACATACCCTAAATATATGTGTATATATTGTTTATTAGGCCAGGGGGAAAGGGTGGGTGAGGTGGCAGAAAAGCGAAGTTGTTTTCTACCTATGGCAAATGGTCTTCTTACACATCCCTATTTTGGAGACCAATGGATTAGGAAACCGAGACTTAAGTTAAGCAAGTGGCCTAGTAGGAGATCCAAAAGAGAACCTTTTGGGGCTTCCCTGGTGGCGCAGTGGTTGCGAGTCCGCCTGCCAATGCAGGGGACACGGGTTTGTGCCCCGGTCCAGGAGGATCCCGTGTGCCGCGGAGTGGCTGGGCCCATGAGCCATGGCCGCTGAGCCTGCGTGTCTGGAGCCTGTGCTCCGCAACGGGAGAGGCCGCAACAGTGAGAGGCCCGTGTACAACAACAACAACAAAAGAACCTTTTGCTAGGTGGGCCATTCCTATGAGATTTGGCTGTGGATAGGATAAATAAACTGTTGCACTAATACCCCTTATGTTCTTCACAGCAAATAAATCTTGACATAATTTAAATAAAATATACTTTATATATTCTTCATGAAAAATGAGCTAATAATTCTGGGTTTACCTATTTTAGAAAGAAGGGAAAGAACTGGGGCATTTTTCTTTTCAATTTTCATCACCACCCCTCCAAGGAATTACATTTAAATTAGCAGTCATGCCCCATCTCTCCCCAAAACCTCTTAGCATAGTTAACCCCTAATCTGTTTTCTGTCTACAGATTTGTCTATTTTTGACGTTTCAGATAAATGGGAGTCGTACACTATATATTTTGTGTCTAATTTCTTTCACTTAGCATAATGTTTTCAAGGTTCATCCTCGTGGTAGCATATTTTTTTACTGCCAAATAATCATTTGTATGGCTGCAGCACATTTTATTTACCCATTTATCAGCGGATGGACATATGAGTTGTTTCTGCTTTTAGTTGTTATGAACATTCATGTACAAGTTTTTATGTGGACATATATTTTCACTTCCCTTAGGTATACCTGAGATTAGAATTGGTAGGTCATATGATTACTATATGTTTAACCTTTTTAGGGATTGCAAGATTCTTTGCCTAAGTGGCTATATCATTTATGACTAGGACTTTTAAATCCTGTATCCCCCAATGGGCTAGTAGTGTTTACTGACTGTTGTTAAATAATTCATAAACTTTTTCTCAAATAACCAATATGAACTTTTTGAGTATATATTTGTTTATGACTCAATAAAAATACATAGCATGTACCCTACTTGTTAGCACTGTCATTTTCATCTATAAAAAGAACATATTATTGGTTTATATATAGATAAAAAAAGACGAATTACAAAAGTGGAAGTCTGATTTATGTTGTTTTCTAACCATCTTGGCTTTCAAAGCCATGGATATAGTTACACTTAATGACAATCAGGTTAATTTCTACATTTCTTTTGCTTATATAACATTTCTAAAACTGATACCAACTGATCTTCCTTATGCATAAAATGGCCAATATCTGCTTTTTAAAGTAGTTACTCACTGGAAGAATCTCAAAGGTCTGTAGTGTTCCACTGTTTAGTGTTATTGTTTCCGAGTCAACAGTAGCAGCCGGGGAGTCTGCTGAAGCTGTGGTAAGAACAAGGACAATAAACAAACACTTCGTAAATTTAAATTTTCTTAGTGTACTCAATTAATTATGAGGGCAATCTCATATTGAATAATTTGCCTGGAAACCCAAAGTCATTTAAGTTTCTTATAAGAGATAAGAAATCTAATGGACTTGTCTGGGATGGCACAGATATACGCGTCAGCCAGCCATGACCCACAGCCAAGTCCAGCCCGCTATCAGTGTTTATAAATCAGGTGTTATAGGAACACACGCATTCCTGTTCGTTAATGTATTTTCTGCAGTTGCTTTTCCATTACAAGGGCAGTTGAGTAGCTGTGACAGAGACAATATCTGCTAACCTCTGCTATAGATAATAAAATATTTCTAATGTTAGGAAGTAAGAGGAATACACTAAGGCTAACCTGCAAAGAGACAGGAACTTGATAAAATAAGTTTTCCTGGACCTTCTGGTAAGAAGTATAGATGTCTGGAATATACAGGTGTCCTGTAACACTAGGCTTTAGTTGTAGTGACATCACTTCTGGCAATGTAAACCCGGGCAAATAACTTACTTTAACCCAAACTAATGTTCAGAGACTTTATCTGCCCTGTCTACCTCATATAGTTGTTGTGAGGATCAGAAACATGAAATATATATAGTTTCAGATGACTGTACTAGGGAGACTAAATAGCACTTCAGAGATCAGACAGTATAATCTCTTTACAGATATGTCAGTGAGGCTCAGACTTGATCATTGTCTGCTCAAGGTTATACAGAACTAGGGCTAATGAGAAGAAATGTAATCTCGTTTGGTGCTTTCAGTCCCACCTGTAGGTAAATCTATGTGAAAAATGATTTGAAATTGACTTTTAATGTATAATGTTAGTTTATTATATTCTGACTATAATGCTTCTCAGTTTAAAAGAAATGCACTGAAAAAAAAAAAAAAAAAAAGAAATGCACTGAATTCATGTTAGTTCTCTTACTATGTGATGTATTCTTAAGATCATACCTAGAATAATTTGAAGTGATTTCAGATAAATAACCTAAATGAAAGGTAAGCAAATTATGGCTGGAGACAAATGTGGCTCAAGGCTAAGAATGTTTTTTTTACATTTTTAAAGGATTGTTTAAAAACAAAATAGAAAATTCCATAGAGATCTATGTGGCCTGCAAAGCCTAATATATTCATATTTACTGTTCTGGCCCTAAAGTTTGCAAATCCCTGACCTCTAACCTAAAGGAAGAAACAATCGTGAGACTTTAGCCCAAATGACAAGAATAATGGGTGTGTTGTAAAACTCTTACTATACTCACATTTCTTGCTGGAAGAAATAAAATTATTCTAGTACTTAAAAAAAAAAAAAAAAAAGCCATGCTGTGAACGATATTAAGGTACCATTTATAAAACGTTTGCTATTTTCCCAATAAGTATTGTCAACCCAATAGCCAAGGAAAACTGTAACATTCTCCATGCACAAAAAATTTTTAGCCAACAGTAGCTCTCACATTTATGGTGGACTAGTAATTTCAGTTGCTTTGCAATCCTCAAGACTACGAAACAAAACAAGCAGGGCTAAAGAAAATAAATTCTTCATGCTTTACTGCACTGGTAGAAAGCTAAAGCAAATAACCAAATTTAAATTAGAACTTTAAGAATAAGACAAGCATAATTAATTTAAACATCAGAATATAGGTTTTGTTTGTTTTTTTTGGTCCGTTTGTTTGTTTTTTGCTGTGCTGTGCAGTTTGTGGGATTTTAGTTCCCTGACCAGGGATTGAACCCACACCCTGGGCAGTGAGAGCACGGAGTCCTCACCACTGGACCGCCATGGAATTCCCAGAAATACAGTGTTAATAATGCCAATAAGTGGCCCAGTGATTCTCAAATGGGATCATAGAGTGTATATGAAAATCTGTAGGGTGTTTTTATTTGTCATACTGACTGGAAAGCACGGTTGGCATTTTGTGGGTGAGGTCAGGGGACCCTAAACATCCCGCAGTGTGCAGGAGGACATCCCTGCCAAGAAAGAACTGTCCCACTTAAAATGCCAATAATCCCCTGATTGAGAATAACACCAAGTGATTGATAAACTCTTGGCAATGGCCTTTCCATAGGCAAATAACATTATGTAGGGGAAAAAAAGTGAGGTAAAAGTGAAAAATAATATGGTTCTGAGAATTTTATCCTCATTCCTTTTCTGTCCCTCTCTAATGGAAAGGTAGAAAGATCAACTTGGCTTAGATCTTAGGAAATAAATTTCCTCTCCCTATAACAATCACTGGGTTCTCATCTCATTAAGCACAAAAAAAATGTCACAGGCTAAGGAAAAGAGAGGGGTAAACAAAACAGTTCCCGTAGGACACTGGTTCTTTACTCTCTGAAGAAAATGTTTTTCAACCTCACCAAAACCCATGTCTTCTACATTTGACTTCAAATCCATTCTTCATTTGTGTGTCTTCTGGTGAATTACTACAAATGATGTGCCATCCTAGGGACTCTCTTTCTTTGCTTAGTTGACTGTATTTTAGGTAGTTTTCTATTAACCATTAATTCTTTATAACACCTAGAAAGTAAGATGATTTAAAATGGTTTATAATGGCTGGGCAGTGGGTTATCATTCTTTCCTGTCACACATTCATCCTTTGTGCAAATATTAATCAAGCTAATAAACAAAAAATGCCTTAGATCTCCTTTAATTTCTCAACTTGCATAAATTTCTGTCAACATTCTAGAAGACTGAAAGGTGTCAGAGCCATTAACGAAATCATATAGTTCAAATAGCATGGAGTCTGGAGGTTACTTACAGACATGGGTGATCTGGACTGGAATCTGCAGGGCTGTCATGGGGCTTGGAGAGATGGCTGTATTGTCTTCCAAGCGGGCAACTCTGATCTGAACATGCTGTACGCTGGAACTGGAATTACTGTTTGGAACTCCAGATCCTGATTTATTCTCCAAAAGCGTTGGGTTGTTTTTTTGATTCTCATGTAACTGTTTAAGACCTTTTATCAAGACTGAAGGGAGATGGGTAGACAAAAAGAACATTGATTCTCCGACAGACCACCATCTAAGCAGCAAGGGAGGTGGGGGGTAAGGAGGGAAAGTATTTGGAATAAATAATTGTATACTGGATATGTGATCTTACCAAAATAACAATAAAAATATTTTAAAACTACAACCTGTCTAGAAATTTTTGGAAACATCCGTCAAAAGAGATTTAAAAAACTCATAACGTGATACTGTTTTTGCCATCAAAGATGAATTAAAAGCCATTGTAAGGAACATGGAAATAAGACATTTTCTATGTCCTAGGACTTCTTGATAAAATTCTTATTATTTAGGGAGAATATTGGTAATGCTAATTAACTTATTTTCATTCAGCAATGAATAGTCTACTACTCTCCCTCCCCCAACCCTGGGCACTTTTTAGCCACTGCAAGAACATAATCAGTTGGCTGTGAGTCTAACTTACAACTCCAGAGTAGCAGCTGAGCTTTTCCAAACAGTATGCAACCGCCTTGAGTTCTTGTACAGGAAAGCCAACTCCTCTACTAATCACGATAAACTACATCAATCCTCTCAGGTAATGCTGCAATCTGGCTGGGTTCATGTTACATTAGTATTCATTCACTCTCCTGGTTATACCAGAATTTATAATTTTCAAAGTGTAAAATAAATTTATAACTGGGTATTTAAAGAAAAAAATCACATTTTCATCAAGCCAAATTCCTCAGCATTTAATTTTCCTTTGCAAAAATGAAAGTTGGAGCACTAGACCAATGGGAGGGAATCTGATTACCTAAATCATACAGACTACAATTTAGTTCCGTGTCTAAGAACAAAGCAGACAGTGAAGTGGAAAGTATGCTATATCTCACTTAAGCAAACCTAAGATCTCTAGATTTACGTAACAAATGAAATTAGAAATCTGCAAGCTTTTGTTCTACAAAATAAATCACCACAGAATTTCTCTAACCCAGTTATTTGAAATTATTCAATTCGTAAAAGTTGATTTAAATATAAGTTCTTACATCTTTGTATACAGTGAAAATACACATTTAAAATTTACTTCCTCTTCATAGTTTATGTGAAAGGATAAGAATGTGTGTAGATGTGTATAGTTTTTTTTTTTTTGCGGAACGCGGGCCTCTCACTGTTGTGGCCTCTCCCGTTGCGGAGCACGGGCTCCAGACGCTCAGGCTCAGCGGCCATGGCTCACGGGCCCAGCTGCTCCGCGGCATGTGGGATCTTCCCAGACCGGGGCACAAACCTGCGTCCCCTGCATCGGCAGGCGGACTCTCAACCACTGCGCCACCAGGGAAGCCCGATGTGTATAGTTTATCTTTGGTGCTTTGAGAATTAAAAATCATATCAACTCTTCTCAGAGGAAGACAGTTACCCAAAGAAATAGGGCAGAGGTTGAAGTAAAGGCCTACTATGATTCATATCTCTTCAGCTGAGGCAAAGAACTTCTAACCTCTAATTCCTTGAGGACTAAATACGGTAAGACAAAGGAAGGACTTAAGAAGCAAATAATACATTACCAGGGAATGAAACATCCTTATGGTTTGCAATTTGCCTTTTGATGGTCCACCATTTACTTCGAAGCCATTGTGGTGAACGGACACTGCTCCATCCCTCTGCTAACAGATCCCAGTTTATGTCATTTTCATCAGCTACATCAAGCTCTGCTATCCTGCAAGTTACAAAATAAGCATCTGTTAGATGTTTGTTTCTCCATAAGAACCCTCCTCTAACTACAGATGATGGCACTGGCAATAAAGGGAATGGCAGGTTGTGTCACTGAGATGCTACTGTTCAGGTACATAGGAAAGGATGGACTGCAGGAGTGCAGACCTGCTTCCACAGCTAAGAGCTATGAAACATCACAGTAGCAGCCTTGTTAATGGTACCACCAATGGGCCATACCATAAATGGTCAGAACCAGATGAAGCACCATGAAGGAAAGGGCATAGCTAAAGGTTAGAATAAGATAAGGACAGGTTTAGTTGTATAGTGTTCTACAATGTTTTATAGTGTGTTATAATGTTATTTCCTAGATCTGAGCTTTTCCATTTGTAAAATAAACAAAATTACTTAGAAAGGAACTATTTATAAAGATGACTAGCTAGAAAAAACTATATTAAAAACAAAACTCAAAACAAAGTGATAAAAAGATAAAAACAATACTCAGGCAGCAACCCAAAAAACCACAATCAATACAAAATAGTACAACTAAATTTGGGGTTTTGATGTCTATTTGTTTTCTACTTTTAACTGTCACGATCTTGATTTTCAGTAGGGTGTAGCCACAAAAGCAACTTCTACTACTTAAGTGTCTCAGCTATTTTTTTGCTGGTATTTTTGCTCATTTGAGTTTCTGAGTCTTAATGGTTAAACCAACTAATGTAAAAAATAAACTTGGGATTATCTTAAAGCTATTTTGGGATATGTATGAAATGGAAGTGTCTAATTTGGTCCAGTTTGAAGGTGTGGGGTAACTGTAGACTGGGCAATCTTAGCATAGTAGCCAAAGATTGAAGGGCATGGAGACTGATAGCCCTCTTACCCTCAACATGGTCCCTCTTGGCTAGGACTGAGGCACATTGGTGGGACAGTGGAAAAGCTGCACTGCCGCTGCCTGTGCCATACCTGTTCTGTGGATATAGAGAGGACTTCAGTCTCCACGCCTTCAATCTGGTACTTTACACGAGCACTAAATCCACTAAAAAAGGAACAAACACAAAACAAAACAAAAAAGAGCTCAATATGAAATATTTAGGATTTTAAACAGTGGCTCTCTATGGAAAGGATGCTTTTCAGACATTAGGCATCTATGGAAACCAAAAGAGGAAAGCCAATCTAGATAGCCACAGCAATTAAGCAGCTTTTGTTATTAAAAGATTTAGGACACAAACCTGAGGATGAGATTGATTTCATCTTCCTTGGTCCACTCAGTACCTCCACTCTGTTTCCAGTTCAGGTAGTTGAGCCATTTAGAACGACACTGCTTTTCTGAGCGAGTACCCACCCGCTCTGCCACAGCTGCCCAAGACACACCCTGTGTGACTATGTCACCTGGCTCAGTGCTCGTCAATTCATGAACCACCTCTGCAAGTCTCTTTTCTTCTTCTTCTGTCCACTTCCCTGAAAGAAGGAAATCATCCAGACTACCACTGCTACCTTCTCCTTATTTTGCAAATCAGATTCAGCCCTGTATTTCAAGAGACTGATGGGAAGTATGCAGTAGTATTAGAATTACTTCTGAATGAAACATGGAAATCCTGCATATACCTGCTAAGACAGTTACTAACCCAGTAAAGTTCTTAGTACTACAAAAGAAAATATAGAATCCTAATAGAAAGCACGGACTGACTCTTTAAGGAAAGAAAAACTACTCAAAACATAGCTAGAAAAAATTATATTTTCTCAAGTTATATTAAGTCCTAACTGGGAAGTGTTCCATTGATGGCTTGATGGACACAAACATTCATACTTTTTTCTTAGTCCCACCTAAGATTCCTTGCTCCGCAGAAGTGAAGTAATAAGCTCAACAGAGACCATTATTTACAGGAATGAAAGAGGAGGGAGAAGTAGAGTAACACCTATGGCTTCCCACCCATTTCGGTAAAAATAAAAACTAGGTTTATACCATCTCCTTTCCCAACTCCAAGCTACTGTGATAAAATATAAGTCTGAGACTGGTAATCACATATATTTCTATTTCAGTTTTTTTGAACCCATGAACCCACTAATAATATCACATGTTCCTATTAGTCTTTTTCTTAGAAAAGCTTAAGCAGAAAAGCAGGAAAAAAAAAGAAAACCTCTTAAAAATGTCTTCCACTCTGTTTCCATTTTGTTACTAGTAGCTGAAAACTTCTGGAAAATTTCAAAAAGGCTATGTGCTTGCCTTTCAGGCATTCATTCAACAAATATATACTGAATATCTACATGCTAGGCACAGTTCTGGGTATCATGGATTCAAGACAAAGTCCTGCTCTCCTATTTTAGCAAGGCAAAAAAGGAAGGGGAAACTCAGACTGCCATCTCATGGCGTGGTCCAAAGAGAAAACTCCTGATCCAAAACGATACATAGCAACAAGGCAGTTAACAGGCAGAGCATTCCCTCAGGCTGGCAATCAGGGAATGGCACAGTGTTTTTCCATTATGCTCACAAAAGGGGTTCTATCCTCGGTGTCTTACATGAACTTCTGGGGTCCCATCGTAAGTCTAAAGCTCCCATTCCTGCTTCATTCATTAAGCTGTCATTCACTACAGAATTAGAGTTGGTGGAATTTATGTTTTCAGTGCCTTATAGGTAATAGTGCTGGCGGAGTGGTTAAGGAGGAAACATTCCTGACTCCACTTCAGCAGGGTAGTGGGTGAGTATGAAAATTATATTCCCTGGAAGCTCAAGCCTAGCTTGAGAACTATTTTTCTAATTAAAAGACTGAGCATAGATTATGGATCCTTCAGAAAAAATTAGAGCTGAAAAGGGAACTGTGAAATCATCTATTCTAACTTCTTCATTTTATAGAGGAAACTGAGGCTCAGAAAGGTAAGTGAGAGTTGGTGGCGGAGCCTAAATACTCTTGTTGGTCATAAAGGTTAGGTTTAACAGTATCTATCATCAGTTAGTACATCTGTATACATTACGAATTGACTGGGCATCTGTGGTCTGGCCTGGGGACTGAAACACCAACCACGAGTTTTTTCTATGGAAAAATGTACTTTGAATTTGAAATAAGCAAAATACATACAAACCTCTGGAACACAGCTTCTTCCTAAGTTGGAACCTGCCTAGAACTAAAGTTTTTCATAAATATGAGTTGATAAGCTGTTACCAACATAAGATCAATAGTTAGATGGGCTTAAATTAAAATTACTTCCTACATATATGCCTTAAAAGTACATATTAGACTTAAAAATAGTTACTTCCCCAACTGGAGCAGTTCTGAATTGCTACAAAATGGAAACATGCTAGACCTAAATAAAACCTTTGAAACTGAGGAGATGTGTCCCTGTGAAAAATATCACCTTACTACACACAGCACAAAAATAAAGGATTAGTTGGGTCTATCTGAAGAAAAAGGACACTAGAAAATAAAACCTCAACTACAATGAATGGCAAATCTCTTTTCAGAACAGAAGAGAAAGCAGTATCTGAAGGGGCAGGAAGCTCAAATGGTGACAAAAAACACCAGTGGCACTCACAGTACCTGTGTTGCAAGTGTCCTTCATCAGTCGGCACCGATCTTTGACAGAAGAGGCACTCCTTCCTAGCGCCGCCCCTATTGTTGCCCAGTCATTGCCATGCTTTATCCGGAGCCTAAAACAAGAGTCTGCCAATCAGCATTTGGTTCAACTGTTTTCTCCCTTCTAATTTCATCATTTATTCTTCATTCTTCTTCTTCCCATTTGACTGGTTTGGAAGTTGTGGGCAGCAATACTTTGAGAGCCAAAGTTTGAAAGTGTGGCCTTTTTTTGGGGTCCACAGTTGTCTGTGGGTGAAAAAAAAACAGGCAGCAATTGCCTTTTTCCTGGGTCAGAGAAGAAATAAGTAACTTGGATATGTGTTCAAAAAAGACCAAATTTCCCCTCAGGTTATTGACACAATTTCCCAGGCAATCCCCAGAATTTTCCCTTTTGAGCACTCCTAACAAGCTCTTCTCAGACACCTGAAACAGTTTCACAAGTCCTTATTATCACAAACAGGATCAGCCTTCGGGTTTTTTTTTCATGATCCATATAATCCATTAACCCATACTTTATGGTCCCAAAATTACGTTTCCTGCAAAATAAGACTGTATAAGGTAGAGTCAGCCCAGATAGTCAGTGAAGCATTTGCCAACTCGCCATTCTAAAGTAAGCCATTAGCACAACCCTGGTTTTGATCCTGGTGTGTAAGTTCCCCAGACTTGTCCTCAGGTCACCAAGAATGGCGATCTAATCTCTTTTGTAACCCCTATTAGTGGTCTAAGGACGCATTACATTTAGTTACTAACAACAAGAGAAGAAAACTCATGGACATGGCTACTCTGTGCAGATATAGATTTGATAAGTTCTTTACATGGTCAACTATGCTTAACAGCAGGATTAAATTATACTAGTCTACCAAAAATGTCTTGACATTTTCAAAGTAAAACTTTAGAAAACACAAAATATTAAAAAAAATTAAAACACAACTATCAGAATTAATGAAAAAAAGAAAAACTTACTCCTTGAGCTTTTCAATTTCTTCAGGTGTGTATCTAGAAATTGAAAGAAATTTTTAAAAGATCAATTAAACAAAGAATGCTAAAAAACTTAATCAGAATTTCACTTAGGGAGCCAAATGTTAACTCACTTAGCATATTGATAACATTTTTAAAGTAATCAATTTCAAAGTAGATTAATAAAAATCAAAATTAATGCCTCTATTTAAAAAAACCCCCAACAAATACTTTAAGCTATAATAAAAGTGAGCACTGTAACAATTTTCTCTAGGAAAATTCAGCATTTAAAACATATTTTCCCCTATGCTGCCTAACTCTTGCGCTATTTCAAGTTAGGTTCAGGTACTCTAATATCATAGCTATTCTGAAAGACTTATGGATGACATGGTAAACTGGAGCTAAAAAGAAAATCTATGGTCAATTCTCACAAGTCACTGAGGAGTTTTAAGTTCTCTTTATTTTCTCTACCCATGCACGGACAACTGACATATTCTTGCTCCATGTAAAGGCTTTTTTTTTAGTGGGTAAGTACTGAATATAGCCAATGCAATGTTCTTTTTAAAAGCAGTATCTAGAAAGCCACACTATTACTACCTAAAACTCCCAGAGAGAAATTTAAAATATGTCAACACCACCATATTATCATTTCATTGAAGATATGATGGCTTCCCACAGATATTACCGATATATAATATCGGTAATTATATCCAGAAATTTATATATCCAGAAATTTATTTTCTACTCTGGTTTTATTTAAAAAAAAAACAAAAGAAGTCACTGACCTAGGAAATGTTATACTATAGAAATGAATAGGAAAAATGTTACCAATGAATTTAGAGTTCTTTTTACACTTCCTAAATCTTTAACCACTACTATACTTTTTATAATGTTACTTTACTACAAAGCAGACTTTGATGTATTAAGTCAGCTAAGTCTTAAACCTATATAAAGTAATTTAGATTCTAATTTCTAAAAGAGGCCGTATTGTAATGAGGTTTCACCGTATTTACAAAATGGACCTGGAGAATAAAAATATGAACATCACTCAACAGTAATTCATAACTATCTCCAATTAAGGCTTTGATCGTAATTTTATTAAAAAAAAGTTCCTTAAATATTTCCCCTAAATTACATGAAAACATGCAGCATTACAAGTTTTCATACTTTCCCACATGGTTTCTGTCATCATACATGCGAAGCACTCTTCTATAAACTGCAAACAAAGGCCGGTTCAGACCCCATGCTATAGTCCTGTAGAAATCTTTTCTTTCGTCTTTTGACATCTCAAAGATGATTTCTGTAGCATCTTTTATTCCGCGTGCCTAAATGGGTTACATTTCTTTGATTTAGGGATTTCTGATAAAATGCATATGGATATACTATGCTTTTTAAAAGTTTTTTTAATGTTAAAATCATCAATGGCATTTAGAAAAATAACATATTGATAATTCATTAATAAGTCAAATATAAAGTTTAAAATGCTGCAAGAGATAATACAATGATACTTAAGTATTCCAAAAATAAGTTGTATATAATTCAATAAAGTCCTGCCAACCCTTTTAAAATTATAAAAAATTAAATCTAAAGAAAGTAGAAAAGGAAGAAATCATAAGAACAAAATTAATATAATCAAATCAAGAGTAGAAAGGATAAGCAATGCTAAAAACTGGTTCTTTGAAAAGATCCATGAGACTAAATAAAAACAAAAAGATAAACTTATGGCCAAACTTAAAAAAAAAAAAAGGACAAAACAATACTAGAGATGAAAAATGGCACCTAAGGAGAGATGCTACAGAGATTAGATAGTTGAACATTATGAAAATTTTATGGCAATAAATTTGAAAACTTATATAAATGTATGATTTCCTAGAAAAAGTCAACTTACCAACTGACTCAGGAAGAGAAAGAAAATCTAATAAACACAGACCATGAAGAAAATTTAATCAGTTATTAATAATTTTCCCACAATGAAAACACCAGGCCAAGATGACTTTACAGGTAAATCCTACCAAACAATTAAGAGAAACATAATTCTGATTTTAAACTATCCTAAAGATAAAAAGGGGGTGGGATTTCCCTGGTGACACAGTGGTTGGGAGTCCACCTGCCAAAGCAAGGACATGGGTTTGAGCCCTGGTCTGGGAAGATCTCACATGCCGCAGAGCAACTAAGCCCGTGTGCCACAACTACTGAGCCTGCGTTCTAGAGCCCGTGAGCCACAACTACTGAGCCCACGTGCCACAACTACTGAAGCCTGCGCACCTAGAGCCCGTGCTCCGCAACAAGAGAAGCCACCGCAATGAGAAGCCTGAGCACCGCAACGAAGAGTAGCCCCCACTTGCCGCAACTAGATAAAGCCCACGCACAGCAACAAAGAACTAACGCAGCCAAAAATAAAAATAGATAAATAAATTTATTTAAAAAAAAAAGATAAAAATCGGGGACAATTCCCCACTCATTTGGTTAGGCTAGCATAATCTCAATAGCAAAACCAGACAAGGGGAGTTTCAGAAAAGATCTTCTGGGCCAAGCTCATTCATTAAAATAGATCCCCCAAATCCTCAAAATAGTTTAGCACACTGAACTCAGTAATGTATAAAAAGGTTAATAATCAATGCAAAAAGTAAGCTTACTCCAGGAATATGAGTTTGTATTAATTTCAGAAAAATTAGCAATTAATCACATAAGATTTATGGGAAAAAAAGTAAAATCTTAATAGGTATGGAAAGAGCAATCATAAAATCCAACATTCAAAAAGCATAAAGATTGTAATAATTATAAACAGAGTATAACCTTTAAATATTGTAAATCACTATGTACACCTGAAACTTATATAATATTGTATATCAACTATACCCCAATTTTAAAAAAGCATAAAGATTAGAAAAGAATCATTTACAGATGTTATATATGTAGAAACCCAAACATCTATAATCAAAAATTATTTAAGAGTACTTAGCAAGAATGCTGGTTACAAAATCAATGAAGTCATTTGTATTTCTAGACAAAGCTCATAAAAAATCTTTAAAAATTCCCACTAATAATAGCATCAAAATTAAAAAAGCATTAAGACTAAATCTTAGGCAAGTTATGCAATTCCTTTATGGAGCAAACATAAAACTATCAACTGACATTAAAGGGGAACTAATTAAAACGGAAAGCTATAAAATGTTCAAGAGGAAGTCAGAATATTACAAAGATGTTAATTCCCTTCAAATTGATTCAGATTCAATGTAGTCCCAATAAAAATTCCAACAGTTTTTCATTCTTTGCAGGTTGATTCTAAATTTATAATGGAAGAGCAAAGGGCCAAAAACAGCCAAGACACTCATGAAGAGACCTGCCCCATCAGATATTGGGACTTCTGAAGACAGAGCTGTACTGGTGCAGGTATGAAACTGAACCTAAGAACAAATTAGAGAACCTAGAAACATATCTGTGGAAGTTTGAGTAGGACAGAATGGATATTGTAGACTGGGAAAAGACTGACATTCCCTAATGATGCTGGGACAATTATCATCCATATAAAACAAAACAAAACAAAAACAACCACAACCCAATAACACTGAAACCCTAACTCATACCCACAGGAAAAAAATCAGTGTGAAAGGCAAAACTATATATGTGAGAATATCTTTATGCCCTTGAGGCAGGGGAAGATTTCTTAAACAAGCTTGGAAAAACACAGAAGTAAAAAGATGATAATTTTGAAATTGGAATTAAGAATCTTCTTTCATCAAATGATACCTAGAGAGAAGGAAAAGACAGGCCACTAAATTGGGACAAGATATCTGTAACACAACCAAAAAACCATTAGTATCGAGCATACATTAAGAACGTCACAAAAAATAAAAGGATAAACCACCCCACAGAAAAAAACTGATAAAAGACACAAACAGGAATTTCAAAAAGGAAACACAAATGGCCAACAAGCATATAAAAATATGTAATCAGAGAAATAAAAATTAAATCCATAATAAAATACTATTTACACCCAAAAGATCTGTACAAATTAATAGCAAAAAACTAAAAAGAACCCAAATGACCATTAACTGTGGAACGTGTAACTTATGGTATATATATTTGCATGATGAAAGCTAAAAAAAAAAAAAAATCAACAGGGGATGGGTCTCAAAATCACAATATTGAACAAAAGAAGCCAGTTACAGAATACCCAGAGAATGAATCAACTTACGTAAATTTCAAAACAGGTAAAATTACACTGATATGCATTTTAAACACTCTTCTGAATGTATTAAACTTCACAGTAAAAACTTTAAAATTTCAGAATCTTTTCTAAAATTGTTTTACGCAGTTTCAATTCTGCAAACAATTAAACCTAAATATTTACAAGTACCTACATGCAAGGCACTGTGTTGTGGGATGATATTATAGTGAGATGAAAAGATTTTTCTGCCCTTTTTTTGGTTGTTGCTTGTGACAATACCTTATCCTTTTACCCAAAATATGGAATATATGACACCTAATTAATTGGTTTAAAAATAGCTCCACAATGTTCCTGTAAGAGCACCACATAATGAAAATCACAGTCAAAAATCAAAATCAAACAAATTAGCTTTTCCCAAGATCAGTACATCTTTTTGGACATTTCCTATTTCTGACAATTCTATCATCATTCTCCCAAACATCCTCAATTTTTAAAAAACCCTTAATTATTCCCACTCCTCATTTTCCTTCTTCACCAATATTCAGTCACCAGGCTTCCTTAGAGACTACTTGCTTATCTGCCTTTCCCTACCAATTCTATTTCAATTACTGTAAAGTCCTTACTACTCTCACCTGGTCACCTGAAATGGGTATCTAAAAGTCTTAATCATAAAGCTGAAAGAGTCCTTGGAAATCATCTACTCCAATCTCCTACACAAGAAACCAGCTTCTTAATTCCCCAAATTCAGTGTTTTTACCAATTCGTTGCTGCCTTATCTAAACCTGTAGCATTTTTCCAATTTTAACTTAAGTGTCTGTGATCAGTGGACAACTTTTAATACACTTCTAGATACATTTCAATGGTCACTATATTTCTGTTTCTCTTAAAACAATTAGCTTGGTGGGAAGGATCTTTCTTCACTAATAAAGAATTAAAAGTTTTTTACTCTTTATAATTTATAAAGGGTAGTTTGGGAGGAGTGCAGCTTAAAATTAAGCTTAAGAACATGGACATTCTAGGCAGCAGTGTATTTAAAATAGTAAAAAATTGTACATAAACTAAGTATCAAACAATAGGAGAATAGTTAAATAAACTCTGTACACTTCCCATTCCCAAACAGTGGTAATGGTCTCCATTTCAAACATGCACTATTTGAACATAACTCCATTACTGGGATGGTCAGCAAGTCTCTGGAAAGATTTCCTTGAGAAGGGCACAGATCTACCCGACCAAACTCTCCCTAAACTGAGTTACCAGTTCTTCTCATTTCTTATAGGATAGAATTCTAATTCTTCGGTCTGGACTTCAAAGCCCAAGTTCTAGAAGCTAATTATCTTGGTTTGGGTTAAAGGGGTTAATTTAACATACTCTGGGTTTGAACTCTGAATCCTCGACGCTCATCATTTACTTATGCTGTTGCCTCCAGCCCTACTCTACCCCTAACTCCCACCCCCTTCTTTAAAACTCAGCTCAAATCCTGCTCTTCCAAATATTTTTCATAACTGTCCTAACCCTGAGAATAAACTCTTCCTTCTTTGTTCTCATGCAGAATTAACAACATGTTATCACTCACAGGGCACAGAGCCTTATATCATTCTTCACCTGTTTTCAGAATTTCCACATGGACTGTTGGAAGGCATTTGAAAGCCAACACTATTTGTTAAAGCAATTCACATTTCTAGTGCTTCAAAAATTCTGTTTTCATCAGACATTTAATGAAGAGGATGACTAAGGTAACAGGATATAAGCCTGAATATGAAAATGAACTAAATTTTTTTTTTAAAGGGGAATGATGTCATAAACTCATTCAAAGAAGATGTATATCTTAGACTTTACACAACATAAATTTAAACCTTAATTTATAGGCTGCTTGAAGAGATGGGGCTTTAAGATTCTGAGAGGCTATTAAAATTCTGCCTAAACTTCAGGGTATTAACTAAAGCAATTTTAAACTGAGAATTTCAAAATGTGCTTAAAAGTATAATCATACAACTGAGAATGATTAATCTACAACATATTAGCCAGTCATCCATTACATAATTACTGAAAAGCTCCTAAGTACTATATACAAAATGCTGCTTTGATATTTTTTGCAATTGGCGATGAAAAAATTAGTGAAACAAAAAAATATGCCATAAGATACCTTCAAATAGCGTTCAATATTGTTCATCAAAATATCAATTTCTTCCTTGGACCACATCCCCTGCTTCCATTTATGTCCTTTAAAAGAAAACAAGTAATGCTATAGAAAATATTATTCCTTGAGAGGAATAAAATGTAGCTAATTTAATGTCTCACTCATCTGAAATCTGAAAAATCCCCAGGTAAAGTTGCTTTTGTGACCTCTGGTTTTTAAGAAAGAATACATTTGACCCTACTAAACAGAGATAATGATAAGTAAAAGATTCATTAAAAATATTACTTCCTCTTAGTTACATCTCTTATCGTTTCAGCAGTATAGGACTTATAAGTACAAAAGCCAAATCACCCTCAAAACTTTCTGAAAAATTTCTCCAGTCAAAAATAAATTTTATGGGCAAAAAAACATGTATAAAAGATTCTAGGACAAGGTAAACGTAATATATTGGATACCAAGTGAATAATTTATTCTTAATGAGTACTTACTGTACAGCGGTTGAAAACAATCAATTTACTTACTTTTTGTTTCCTTTCCTTACTTCAGAGTGGCATATACACAACCTCCACTTTGTTGTAGTAACTTCCTAGCAATCCTATGAGCACAGCAGCACTATGAACACCGTTACTTTAAACCTCTAAGCCACTTATCAGACCAAAGTTAGTAGCAGAACTTTGAAAAAAGGCTTGACTTCCTACTCCCATAAGCAATAACTGAATTGTCTTTTAAATGACAGCACTGTGCATCTGTTTATAACCTACTTCATATCACAGAACTAATGATCAATGATTGAAAAATGAATATTGGTTTCATGATCCCATTCAGAGCCAAATTTAATTCAATTAGAAAGGCTCAATTACTGTAACTACTCAACCATAATTATGAAGGCCCAACTCAGAATCCTTATGACTACAAGCTCTTCCTTATGTCCATTTTTTCCACTGGACACTAAAATTCACAGTATCTCTTACCTTTGTTAGTTAGAGAATCCTTATCTTCTTTAGTTGTAAACCATGCTTGGCTAACCGCTGAAACCTCCTCATTACCCAAGGGAGATATGTCATCTAGTTGCTCATTCTGTAGAATCTTGAAAAGGTAAAAGAGAAAAAAAAAGTAGCAGCCTGATTTAATACCCAACCTGATTCATCTTTGTTTGTAATGCGAAGCACTATAAAACTCTAATAATGTGAAATCCATTTGTTTTAGATATAATAAAATTATATTCAATTTATAAAGACAAATATTTTCTTGTTCTTTTAATAAGACAGTATGAAAACAAAATTATCTGCATTAACAAAATATGACCTTCATTTAAACAAGTAAGTCAGTACTAGCAGCTTGAATTTTAGAGAATATTGGCTAAGATTCCATTAAGCATTTAAATTAATACACGATACTCAAAGCCATTTGTATATTTATATATGTAAAACAAACTCATATAAAATAAAATGGAAATGCTGGGGTTGATGTCATGATTATTCATGTCCTCACAGGTAGTTTGCTACCTAAATATATAGTCATCTGTAATGTAATCTGTTGCTAAATCTAAAGGATTAACAGGCTAACTCAAAAGATGCTACTGCAAAATCATGATCTGCTTATTGTTTACTGACAACTTTGTTTTAGCCAACCTCTAGAGCTGATTCCTACCCTCCTTAATGTACCTTCTTTCAAAGAACTATATGGTATTACTTTCTATTATTATTGCAGTAAAACAGTCTGTATGAGAAATGTGTAGTTAAAAAATAAGCTTTATTGAGATACAATTCACACATCATAAAATTCACCCTTTAAAGTATACAATTCAGTGGCTTTCAGTATATTTATGAAGCTATCACCAGGTACATTTTCTTTTGTTGTTTTTTTTTTAATTTATGTATTTTATTTATTTATTTTTCACTGCGCTGGGTCTTCGTTGCTGTGCATGGGCTTTTTTTAGTTGTGGCGAGCGGGGGCTACTCTTCGTTGTGGTGCATGAACTTCTCATTGCGGTGGCTTCTCTTGTTGCAAAGCACGGGCTCTAGGCGCACAGGCTTCAGTAGTTGTGGCAGGCAGGCTCAGTAGTTGTGGCTCGTGGGCTCTAGAGCCCAGGCTCAGTAGTTGTGGCTCACGGGCTTAGTTGCTCCGCGGCATGTGGGATCTTCCCGGACCAGGGGTCGAACCCCTGTCCCCTGCATTGGCAGGTGGATTCTCAACCACTGCGCCACCAGGGAAGCTCACCAGGTACATTTTCAATTAAGGACATACCTAATCCAGCAAATTCTGCAGGAACAAAGCTGTTTTTAAGAGACTTGGCCTTGAGCTAAAGAGAGCTATAGGGTAAGTGAAGAAAATTTAGCAAAAGTGATACCATATCAGGTATGAACCTATTATAGGCAGACCAGGATAAGGGGAGAGTCACATGCCTAGTGACCACTCAACCCAGTTTTGTCTCTGGATTGGATCAACTACTAACCTATGTCACTTTCCGGAGGTAAGTCCTAACAAAGTTTGAACTGTTTTTTGAGTAGGCAGAAACTGGATCTCTACTTCCAAGAAGATATGAAACCCATCTCACTTCGAAAACAGAGAAACTGTCCATGAACAATCAAAGCACAATGCTGTCACCTACTTTATTTTTATATTTGGTGGTAATGAATATTTTGTATTTATAAAAATGTTGTTTTTTAAAACCATAGGCAAAAGCTAGAAATCACTGGAACAAACATGAAAAGCTTTATAACCCTGTATTTATGCATCATACATTTTAGATCTTTTTCTTTTAAAGATTAAGAGGACTTTATAAAGCTGAGAATTGAGACAGACTAGACAGATGATATCCAAGGCCTCTTATATTATGAAGGTCACAATTCTGTAAGATTTGACACAGGAGTTATTCATCAAGGGCAATACAGAGACCTATCAAAAGACCATGATACATATAATACCTACTTTTAAGAAATGTAATGTAGAAAATATCCTGAGATGATCTCTTATATTAATTAGTTCATTAAAAGAATAAAATCACCATTTTCCAAAGTGAGTCTAAATATACAGCAAAGCCCACTCTATGAATCTCACAAATAAACCTGTCATGCCAATTAATCGCTGTCTTTGGGCAAACACTTAATGCCTTATGGCTCAAATTTTTCTGAAGAAGACTTACAATTATTACTTAAACCATATAATGTTAAACAGGAAAAGCCGTGAAATGAAGTAAATAATTATTAACTTTTAGTAGTAATATTCAGCACTGTCAATAAAAGTGAGTATAGAAGGAGACTTAGGTACCTGAAAGGCTATCTATCTATACTTAGTAATAAGTTTAGTAATAAGTATTTTAGTATAGTAAATAGTAATAAGTTTTATAGTATTTTACCCCCATTTTTCGCTATTTTATACATAAATCTTTTAAAGTTACTCAGGCTTTATTAGAATGCTGTTGCTTTCTAAATGAAGCCTTTTTGAGTTGGTTGTAGGGTTTCCTATCTGTAACATATACAGGCTTAGAAATCTAAAAATAAGTATTTCATTCACTAAGCACCTCTTGCAACCACAAAGTACTACATACATTGGGAATTTTTAAACTTTCTAATTGTTTTTCAAGCTCGTCCCACCAGTGGAATGAGGGAAGGGGCATTAGCTACTAAACTACGTGAAATAACTACACCTAGATTGACACAAAAGGGCACAGCAAAAAGCACACTATTTCTGAACTTCTAACTGTGCTGACTTTCACTCCCAACCGAATATTAATCTTATTAAAAAAATTTAGAAATTATTATTTCGTTTATTAAAATGGTAATAACAAACCAAGAGGTTAATATTAAATTGTAATTCATTAAGTCTTCGGAAATAATCCAAACAAAACCGTATAACTTGTCTAACTAGCACTGCTACTGCTCAATCTTATAACTAGGTTGTAAACCAAATCACACATATGTATATAGTTATTTTCAATGTGCTAAAAATGGAATGGAAGTGAGACTACATAGTCTATGAATCTGAAATGAATTTGACAAGACCCATTTTGAAGAAAGAATGTGCCCTATTATTTCTGAGGGTTTAGAAAAAAAATTCTGTCCAAATTCCCACTGAAACCCAAGAGTAGATTATGAGATCTCCAGCCTGGCTCAAAGCTGTTTGAAGCATTCTGGAGACTTGCTTCTCTGGAAATCCTGTCATTCTGGAACCACTGTGAAGCTCCCCACTGCAAACCATTCACAGTACACCGACCTGAGATGTCTTTAGTCCCTGATGTTACATATCAACTTGTAACTACTTTACTTCTTAATTGAAGGGTCATTGGGATGCTTCACATACGAAAAATAATGGTACAATGTCTACTGTCTACTTAAGAGTATTTTATTAAATGAAGAGATGAAGCAAAAGGACAAGCTAGTAAAAAGAAAGAACAATCAGCCAGAAATACACTTACAAGTAAAATATATTTAAGCTGTTGGTTACTGAAGACAGCAAGGAATTCTGATTACTTTTTTTTTTTATGAGACAAATACAGAAGTTCATGTAGGAAAAAGGGCTAATTATTATTTAACCTCTTAACATGCGGTAAAATGTATCTAGTCCTACAGGCACCAAAAGAAACTACCTTAACTACAAATGTTATAAATTGTATCGTTGCTTACAATTCTGAGACTCACATATGTGGGGACTGGAAATCTGAATGAATAAGTTCAACCTCTGTTCTGTGGTTGCTCCTTTGTCAGACAGAATATATTCTCATCATTTTATCACCTAAGGTATGTGTAAAGGATAATCTTCTTGTATCCAGTAAAAAGACTTACTATACCTGGATCTGTGTCACAGTTCCCTCAGTAATCTCATCATCTGCCACCTCTGTGGTTGCAGTCATGGTCACCTCAAAGCTCTGATCATTTTCTGAAACTTCAAGAAAAAGAACAGTTCAACTCCAGAATAATAATGGCAGCTTCTAATTATTAAAAAATATACCCAAGGAACAAGTATGTGATCATCTAATTTCTTAACATATTCCTTGCCAATATATCTACACATATATATGTGTGTATGTATACATTCATATACACATATTTGCTTAACAAATATCTAATGTGCACCTAAGGCATTGTTCTCGGCAACAACAAACAAAAAACCAAAAATTCTGCCTTCACGGCACTTATAGCCTAGGGGGAAAGATACAAAATGAACACGATATTATGCTGGAGAAGTATTAAGGAGAAAAAATAAAGCATGAAAGGAAATGTGTTGGGAGTGGGGGAGAGTGTTTGAATTTTAGATAGGAGGCCAGGAAAAGTCACCAACACTTGGACTTTATCCATAAAGTCCATATATTATATATCATGCAGGTATATTGAGGAAAAACACTTCAGGTAGATGGAAAGCCAAGTGCAAAAAGGCTCTGAGGTGAGGGCCTGCCTAGATGGTTCATAGGAACAGCAAGGAGGACAGTGTAGCTGGCCAGAGCAGACCAATCAAGATACTGTGTGGGGACTCACAGACCACTGTAAAGACTTTGGCTTTAACTCTCTTCCAATGGGTTGACCATTGGAAGATTTAGAGTAGAGGAGAGTATAAACTGAGTTTTATTTTAATAGGATCACTCTGGCTGCTAAGGGGAAAATAGCCTGAAGGGCAGCACAGGCTGGAGGGAAATCAGTGAAGAAGCTAATTCAATAATCTAGGTAAGAGAGGTCAGTGGCTTGGACTAGAGTGAAGGCAAGTGAGGGTGATAAGAAGTAGTTCAAATTGTGCATACATGTTGATGGTAGAGTCAATAGGATGTGCGGATAAACCAAATATGAAAGTGAAAAGTCAACGATGGAACTAAAGTTTTTTATCTGAGCTACTGGAAGAATGTACCTGCCATTAATGAGATGGGGAAGACTGTAGAAGAAGCAAGTTTAAAAATGTAGGACGTTTCAGGAGCTCAGATTTAAACATATTCGTTTGAGATAGCCACTAAACCTCTAGAGTCAAGAGAAGTCTGGACTGGAATAAATCTGGGAGTCATTACCAGAGACAGGACTTAAAACCATGAATTCTAGGGAGTGAGTAAAAATGGAAAACAGAAGCAATCTAAGAACTGAGTCCTGGGGCACTCCACATTTAGAGGTTGCGGAGATGTGGACAAGTCAGCGTAAGAGACTAAGAAGGAATGGACAGAGAGAAATGTCTTCCCTGGAAGCCAAGCGATAAAATGTTTCAGGGAGAAGGGAGTGATAAAATTGTTGAAAACTGTTGGCAGATCAAGTAAGACAAAGACTAAAAAAATCACCATTGAATTTAGCAACAAGAAAGTCTCTGGAAAAAACTAAAAAGAAAAGAAGAAAAAGAAAGTGTCTGGAGACATGGGGAGAACAGTTCTGGTGTAGTGATAGAGGTGAAAGACTGACTGGAGTGGGCTTACGGAACAAGGGAAGAAGAAACGGAGGCAATTCTTCCAAGGAACTCTGATCTAAAGGGAAGCAGAGAAATTGGATGGGAGCCCAAAGTGGGCTAACAGGACGTTTTGAAGAAGAAATTATAGTATGTTTGTAAATGTTGATGGGAATAATCCAATAGAGAATGAAAAATTGATGATTCAGAGGAGAAAGGAAAGAATTGCTACAACTATGTCCTTGAGTAGACAAAAGGGGTGGGATCTAGTACAATGAAGGGTTGGCCTTAGCTGGGTGAAAAGACAGAATATATGGACATAGATACAAGTCAGTGTGTATCTATGGTAGTGGAAACTTACAGAAATTATTTTCTGGCCACTTAAATTTTCTAGGTAGGAAGCAAGGCTATCAGTTGATAGTGAAAAAGGTAGAAGTAGTACTGGAGATTTCAGAATGTATTAAACAGTCATCTTAGAGTGGGAGAAAGAACACTAGATAAGTATGGTATGACTAGCAGGCAACATTAAGAGCCCATTTCAAATTAATGATCATAAATTTAAAGTGAGACTGGTCAGCTTACTTGTGCTGTTTTTCTCCAATCTCTTTCAGTTAGCTGTACCAGTATAGACATAAATAGGCAGACAAATTGAACCAGGGTTGTGGTTTCATCAAAGAATGATGAAGTGAGGGGAGGAAAAAAGGATCTGAGGGTAAATGCAAGACAATGATTATAATGATTAACCATGAAAAACTAGGTAAGGAGGAAACTAGGTAAGGAGGAAACAAGGATACAAGTGAAGGAATAATTTAAAAGTGGTAAGGTCAATGGGTCCCAGTGGGGCAAAGGATCGCAAAAGTATGAGAGGAAGTAATCTGGAAGATAGGAATTAGTGGTAGGAAAACAAAATCTGAAGTAATTACAAATAGACTCCAGTTAATATGCAATAGCAAAAGTGGTATGGGAATGACAAATGAGGCCTTGTGAAGAACAAAAGGAATCAGAGGCTTAGTAACTCCAACAATCCTCTACGAATAATCACTAAGAGTTTTAACAATGAATAGGTAATGGAATAAATGTGTGTAGATGATTGCAAAAAGAAGTGGTAAGTTATCTACACTGATTAACATGAGGGTTAAGAGAACTTTTAAGGCTCAGATAACTTTTTATCAGTTTTATAAAGCATGTAAAGAAAACCTGAATATTAAAGTTAAATCATTAAAACTAATATTCATCTCCATGAAGTCCAGCATAAATTACTCGTGCATTTAATCAGTCCCAGATGATGGTGATGGATATAGGACTTCATGCTTTAGTGTGACTTTTTTTTTTTTTTTTTGGCGGTACGCGGGCCTCTCACTGCTGTGGCCTCTCCCGTTGCGGAGCACAGGCTCCGGACGCGCAGGCTCAGTGGCCATGGCTCACGGGCCCAGCTGCTCTGCAGCATGTGGGATCTTCCCGGACCGGGGCACGAACCCGCGTCCCCTGCATCGGCAGGCGGACTCTCAACCACTGCACCATCAGGAAAGCCCTGTGTGACTTTTTTAAAATGTAGAAACTTTCCTAAGTTGATTTTATCAACATACTTTTTACAAATCCAGGGAACTTCAAGCCACTCTTTATAAATTCAGTCTTATTGTAAATTAGGCTCCAGAATGTCCTCTTTGGTGATGCTATGACCCAACATCAAATAGCTCATGTGCTTTAATGTCAACACACCATAAAATAGAACAAAATATCATGTAGTTCAAACCTACAATAATGTTCAAGGCACTCTAACCAAATCAATTAACCAGTCAAAATTTACATCAAAATAATCACTCAAAAATTCTGGCTTAATTAAATATTTTTATTTTATTTTATAACCTGTGCATGTACTGTTCAGCATGGTGACTACAGTTAATAATACTGTACTGTATATTTGAAAGTTGTTACGACAGTAGATCTTAAAAGTTCTTATCACAGGAAAAAAAACTGTATTGACAACTGTGTGGTGAAGGATGTTACTAGACGTATTGTGCTGAACATTTTGCAATATATACATATACATAATGATTTGGTATACATATACCAATCATTATGTACACTTGAAACTAATATAATGTTAATGTCAGTTATATCTGAATTAAAAAAAATTCTAGCTTAGAAAATGTCTATATAGGATTGTATTTGTACAGATAGGCTAATCATGTTCTAAAATTGAGTCATAACATAATAATAGTCAAATTAGGAGAGAGTTTTAAAAATCATACGAATTATCATTAGAAGGAGAGATCATTTAATTAGAAATACATTATGCTTGTATATTCCACAAGTGGAAGCAATATTAGCAATATTAACATTAACACCATTTCTCAACAAAGTCTCATAGTAAACTTATATAATATGGTTTATTTTCTGCTCAATTCAATAAGCAATTAACTCCAAATACAGAGTACATATTTGCTTATGAAGACATGATTTTCCACAATGAAAACCTAGTCTTAGTTTTCTTTCACTAGATGACGATGTGATCTTGCTTGATGCTGACTGCAAAATAAAAGTTCGTGGATATACCAAGACCCTCCTTTGTGCAGAGAGTGCCCCCAACAGCCCTGTGCCCCAACCCCATCGCCAAGGACTAAGATATCTACTCCAGCTTTGGAGGGCCACCACAGTTCAACAAGATTCCATATTCTTTGCTAAACAAACCAGAAATATAATTTAACATTACAGTTGGTGGGTTGTAGTATTTCACTAACAGTATCCCACCCAAAATACTACATCTTCTTAAAATCCAGTCTACTCTAAATGATCTTGGAATATAAATAAACATTTTAAGAACTTTCTTTGTTTTGCATTTTTTTTCCTGGCCGCACTGTGCGGCATGCAGTATCTTAGTTTCCCCGACCAGGGATCGAACCCGTGCCCCCTGCAGTGGAAACACAGTCTTAACAGCGGGGTCGCCAGGGAAGTCCCTTAAGAACTTTCTTAATGAGAATAAACTTATTAGGCTTCGGTCTAACTTCCATTTAGCCATATACCACATGAAAAGAACATAAACTACAAGAACCAGAATGCCTGGGTATGACCTTAGACAAGTTATTACACCTCTCTATACCTTAGTTTTGTCATTTATAACATAGGGAACACTCTCTAGAGTGTGCTTTCTCAATGAGGGTGAATATGCTTCTTGGGAGAAGGTGAAAAGATCTTATTCTCTTTATTAAGAAAGCAAGGACATATATATATATATATATATATATATATAGTACACTAAAAACAACAACAGTATATTTGTGGTATTACAATTTCATGGGGGAGAGTATGATGATGAAAAAAATGTCTAAAAATGCTCTCAGGAGTGGGGGGCAATTAAAAAAAGGCTGAGAGATTAAACTAGGCAATATATGTAAAAGTATTCAGAGCCATGCCTGGCACATAAATAAGCACTCATTAACTGCTGGTTAAAAGGAGGTTTTTTGCACTAAGAGGAGAAAAATAATGGCTCCAAGTCTACCTTGAAATGCCAATTTAACCTCTTGGAATGTAAATTTTGATTCAGAAGGAAACTATGTTAATACTCAGTGACTTACGTGGAAGTGCAACAACTGATATGCAAGGAGTGGAATCATCAATACTTTGATCATCCTCAGAAGACAGACAAAGCCTTTTATGTGGAGGTTCAATACTATCTTCTGAGTCTATTTCATCAGCTTCTAATGAAACAAAACAAAACCAAAAATCTCAAAATCTTCAAACCAACAGGAGAAAACAAAATCTTCAACAAACAATGACTGTAAAATAATCTTCTTACTGATTTGCTATGTCAACTAAAGCCAGTCGTGCAAGTGAGACTCACTGTCCTCTCTACGCCTACTGCAGCACCTCAGCTCTTATTCTTATGACAAGGAACTATGAACAAAGGGGCCACTTTTTAAAACATCACACTTTTGTGCTGTTGACTACCTAGCTTTCCAAATATTTCACATGTAAAGACAAGGGTCGGTTATTTAATTCACTCACAACATTCACTGAATGCCTACCATTACCTAAGTTTGAGAAACAGAACAATGAGAGATACCCTGACTGTCAAGGAGCTCATAGTACAGTGTAGGAGATGACCAAACTAACAATTTCAAAATGGTGTAATAAGAACTATGAAGGTGGAATGAAGAGGCTGTTATATGAGCACACAGGCATTTAATTTAGACTGGAGGTGAAGGGAGGTTTCTAGAAAAGGTGTCTTAAACTTCAAAAAGAAACAGAAGCCGGGGGAAATGATTATTAACTGGCAGTAGGAGTAATACATGCAGTCATACCGAGGTCCGAGAAGCTTAAAGTATGTTAGGAATATAAAAATAGCTGTGAACTGCTGGAATACCACTACATGAAATGTGGCAGGAAATGAGGCTGCAAGGAAAGCTGAGATGATGGAAGGCCTATGTGCCAAGTTAAAGAACCTGAACTATATTCTTAAAAACCATGGGAAGCTTATTAAAAAAAAAAACCAAAAAACTTCCTATACTGTGAGTGAATTAAAAAAAACTTCCAAAAAGTTTGTTCATTTGGGTTTTTCCATAACATCTTACAGAAAAACTTGAACTTTTTGGCCAACCCAATACAATTATGTCAGCAGGTTCTCCTACCATTCTGAGGGCAGTGAAGAATGAGGTTCCCGTCTGCGTCCCGAGTCAAAGTCACAGAGTTCACAGTTTCTACTGTTACTGTGTCAGAATCCTCTTCAACTGTGCTCATACTCAAATCTGTATAAGAAGAGGTTTCAGATTAGGGTTTAAAAAACTATTTCCAAGTATGAACATGAAGTAGCCCACAGAACCCTGCCCCCCCCCAATTTGTATCTGCCTGTAGTATTCTTTATGTGAAATTGCAATGATGCTTCAGGTTTCAAAATGTTTTTTCAAAAGTATAGGGGCTTCCCTGGTGGCGCAGTGGTTCAGAGTCCACCTGCCTATGCAGGGGACACAGGTTCGTGCCCCAGTCCGGGAAGATCCCGCATGCCACGGAGCAGCTGGGCCCATGAGCCATGGCCGCTGAGCCTGCGCATCCGGAGCCTGTGCTCCGCAACGGGAGAGGCCACAACAGTGAGAGGCCCACGTACCGCAAAAAAAAAAAAAAAAAAAAAAGTTTATACCAATTATTTAGAATTAGCTGTAATAATCTGCAAGAATCTAAATGCGATGATTAATTAAAAACCTACAGCATTTACTTTTTTAAGAGTTGTTTTTATCACATCCAATGAAAGACAACCTGTTCCAAGTTGTCTGTCATATCAGCAAAAACTCACACCACTTTTTAGTTATTTTTTATTGGCAGCTTTGTGATATATTCAAATAGGTGTTTAACTTCTGATTCTTTACCAGAAGACCCATCACAACTTTTCTCTTAATCTAAGAATTACTTCTCTAAAACACTATTTGCAAGTATTTAAGCTCTATTATTATCTGAAAAACAGGAACACTAAATAATTCTTCCTGCTGTTTTTTTCATATTGAACAAGTACATATATCTGTCACTGACCAAACTGTTTTCCTAACAGATATGGATCTAGGTCTTATTTTGAAATAGAGAACTGGATTTTGCTTAAAGTGCCTTTACCTGTTATTTTACACATATATTATTTCTCTTTTGTTCAGACAGACTGAATAAGTAGCACTTTGAATACAGTATCTCATGGCTGACAGGGGGAAATGCCCTGAATTGTAATCAATGGCCTGATTGAAGTCTTTGGGCTTACCTTGTAATGTTCAATGAAGTTCTTGCCTCAATACTCAATTTTGGTCTTGTCCACATACTTTTTTACCAACTAAATAATACAGAGGACATAAGCCTTGATGTGTATTAATCATTCAATATTTATTTGGTTGCTATATACAAGATATTAGTCTGTACATATATTTGCCATTTACACAAATGCATTTTCCCTTAGCAGAAAAACTTAAGAACTATTAACATTTACATGGTGAAGATCTACTGATTCACTCAAGTTCTACTGTACAAATTACTGTTTTAAAAGGACATCATTCATTTTACAATGGTAAAGATGCCATTCCCCAATTAAAGATAAGTAGAGGTCATGATTTAGTTATGACTAAAATTTGCAAATCATGAGGTAAGGTCCCTGGAACAAAGGAATGCTTACCTAGCAAACAGATGGATCAGCTATAGCCCTTCCCACAGAATCGATTTGCCTTCCCTTTGCCACCAGCATCACTTTCATGTTATCCAGATTGTTTCTCCTCCATGTTCCTACCTCTGCAACACTCTGAAAAAGTAACAGCATTATACAGTCAGGCTTACTGAGAACAAACAACTGTGTGCTAGCAGTATGCTGATGACAATCTAGCCTCAAGCCTCTGTGATGTCTCAACTAGAAGAGGAAGGACAAAACCAGAATTCTTCCGTAAGTAGACCTTTTGGAAATCAGCCTCTGAAAGAATTCTCCAATGAAGGGCAGAAATGACGGGATCCTATGCCTACTAAGTCAGTTTATAGGCAGTTTCTCAGCCCAAGTTGCCCCTCATCAAGCAGTCAAACTTTCTCGGAAAAAATAGGTTGAATTACACCAGTGGTTCTATGAACTGTAGATCTGGGTACATGTAACATGACCTAGGGTGTATACCAACCAACAATACCACAAATATTACCAGTAACTATATTTTTCTTTATAATAATTAACATCTCTCTTTAAATGTAGTACCATATTTCATCTTAAAGCATTAGAAACTACATAATATCTGTTAACAGCTCTGCCCAGGGATCTGTGGGAAAAAAGGAATCCTAAACAATCAGGCCAGAAAACATAAATTACAAGAAAGCTTTTGAATGTATTGTGAAACTTACAAAATCTGAAATGATTTGATTTTTTTTTTAATTTATTTATTTTATTTATTTATTTTTGGCTGCATTGGGTCTTCTTTGCTGTGCTTGGGCTTTCTCTAGTTGTGGCAAGCGGGGGCTACTCTTGGTTGCGGTGCACAGGCTTCTTATCGTGGTGGCTTCTCTTGTTGCAGAGCACAGGCTCTAGGCACATGGGCTTCAGTAGTTGTGGCACTCAGGTTCAGTAGTTGTGGCTCACGGGCTCTAGAGCACAGGCTCAGCAGTTGTGGCACACGGGCTTAGTTGCTCCGCGGCATGTGGGATCTTCCCGGACCAGGGCTCGAACCCATGTCCCCTGCATTGGCAAGTGGATTCTTAACCACTGTGCCACCAGGGAAGTCCCCATGATTTGATTTTTAAAGGTTTCTTTCAATAAACTTCTCATCTTCATCCCAAAGGATCAACCGAAAATTAAAAAGCACAGCAAGATTTAAGGTTCAAGGGGATGTTTCAGCAAAAACCAATGATTAAAATTCTCATTTTTGCAGTATTCTAATTAGAACTCCTCTCTAGGATGGGTATCTTTGAGAACTGCTATATATAAATAAGTCTGTAGTGCAAAAGGTACAGATCCTGCTAGAGAAACATCCAGTCAGTTAACAGATTTCATGTTGTTCTCACTTCAGAATCCATTAAAATGTTTAAAAGCTGGTTTGTAAAGTAATACCTACTATAGAAGATGGAGAAATTAAATGTTAAAAAAAGAAAAAAGAAGTTAAAACCACCCATAAACTTGCCAAAATCATACTTCACTCTTGTTGATGTGTGTGTGTTTGTGTATGAGGCTATCCTGTAGAAGCAATTTTATATACTGCATTTTAGAGTTCATTCACATTGAAAAATGTGAAGGAAACCAAGCTAGGTATTTAACTGAAGTTTTCTGTATCATTTAAAACTTCCACTGCATAAAAAACATGACGTTATCCAACAAATAGCCTATAACTGGACATTTACATTCTTCCCAATTTTTCATTTCCGTAAAACACTGAAACATTCATACACTATTTCTTTAAACAATATTAATTACTGAAAATTATTAGATCAAAGAATACAACAAAATAAACTTTTAAATCATGCTGCACTCTATTTTCCAGAAAGGATGTACAAATTTATATTCCAACCACTGAGGTGTAAACTCTACTCCTAGTAGTAAATAAAAATACCTTGCCACTAGTATTTTTATTTAAAAAGAAACAACAAAGCAAAAAAATAACAAACCCAGCACAACTCCTCATGTGATAGGTACAAAATGGTTACTGGTTTAGCAATTTAATGACTGTCATCTTAGGACCCAAATTAATCTAAAACTTCGGGAAAAAGAGAAAATAAAGGTGGATTTGAGAAGATATGGTAAGATACAAGGAAAGGTATCTTAAGGTAAGATACAAGGTAAGTACAAGGAAAAAGGAGTCTGAAATAGCTAGATGAGAGTATTTCATTCTTGATAACCTGTACTGGGGTTAGAGGTCGATCCCATGCAGTGTACTAGCTTTAAATCAGGAATCTAGGTTCATTTTAAAAAGTCTGATAATTCATGTTAGAGATGAGTAAATGCTTCTACACTGCTTTGCAAATTAACTAGCATATCTGTTCAATCAACAAATATATATCACATGTGCAATGTGCCAGGGACTCTCTAGGCACTGGGATACAGTGGCTACTTTTTTTTAACCCCCAAAGATAAGCTCTTGACTTACCTTCCTGGGGTTTTTCCCCTCTTGTACTTACAGCTACACAGTCTGGATTTAGTAATATTTAAGAAACTCACCTAATTTTATTTTTAATTTACTTTTTAAGGTAACACATTTACATGGTTCAAAATTCAAAAGGTAAAGGTGAAGTCTACTTTCCACTCTAGTTCCCTAGACCCCCTGCCTGGAGGTAAACAATGCTGTCAGCTTCTCATGCCTCCTTCCAGTTATTTTACTCATATATGTCAATATATTCCTCCCTGCTACACACACTTTTTATAGAAATAGCATCATGCTACAAATAGGGAAGCTTACCCTAATGGCTACTTTATATTTCTTCATCAGCAAGTACTGTAAGCCAGCCAACAGATTAACAGCAAAGTCCCCAAGGTGGGACCTGATTTGGCCTGGCAGGAGGGGATTAAAAAAGAAAGCCACTATGGCAGAGGCTTCCGAGCAAGGAGAGTAGCTGAATTTAAGGCTGGAGAAAAAGACAGGGGCACATCTCATAAGGGCTTATAAATCCTTGGACTGTTTTAAATTGGGAAATATAATTTACATTTTGAAAAGATCATTCAGACTGCAATATGGAGAATGGATAAGGGAGTAAGTCACGAAACAAGCAGCTGTCCAAGAGATGATAGTCATTTGGAATAGGTGGTGGAAATCAAAGAAAGGAGCCTGGACAGAGGATTTATTTTGGAGGTAGTGTTGACAGGATTTGCTGAAAGTAGATTAAGAGATGAGGAGCTATTTCAAGATGATTCCTACACTTTTGGCTTGAATAATTGAGTTTGGGGGCACTAGAAGATATTTATTAAATATTTTTATTACTGTTAATATTAACAAGTTAAGATATACGGCACCCAAATGAAGATGTCAAGTTGCCAGTTGGAAGCTGGAATTCAACAGGCAGGGAATAGACCTGTAAATTTGAGTTAGTGGCATGCAAATTGTTTTTAAAGATAAGATCACCTAGAGAAGTTAGAGAAGACAGCCTAGAGTTCTGAAGCAGAAGTCAAGCAATGCACAAACAAGGAAAGGAGACTGAGAAGTACCAGCCGGGATACAGGAGGAAAACTAAGAGATGTTACTTAAAAGGCTTGAGAGTGTTTTTCAAGGAGCATTAAGTAGTTGACTGTTAAATACTGCCGAGAGGATAAGATGGAGAAGTGACTACTTGATTTGGCAGTAAGTAGAACACTGCTGACCTACTGGAATACAGAGAATTGGAAGTACGGAAGGTAATACAGAACAGGTCTTGTACAAGGTTTAGCTCTCAAAGAAAGCAGAGTGAGAAGATCTACGGTAGAGTCAAGACAGCTGTTATTTATAGGAAGAGTACATCTGTATTTTAATATGACTATTAGAGTAACTGAAAAATGTTGGTAAATAAATCAACTTACGATAGTAAGGTACAAAGTTGAGTAATTTAGGGCCTTGTACTGTAATTCATTATACGTGAAACTATGCTTAACTTCAAAACCCGTTCCCCATTTGGTTTAATAGGGAAATATATCAGGAGGATCTCCAATTATAACATCAAAATTTTGGTTCCCTTTGGGGCAAATAAATACACATCATCAGCCTATTTTTTTTATAAACTTTTCTTTAAAAGACAATCTACATATTTATTTATTTAGGCCACACCTCGAGGCATGATCCCTACCAGGGATCAACCTGCGGCTCCTGCACTGCAAGCGCAGAATCTAACGACTTCCCTGGTGGACCACCACGGAAGTCCACCATCAGCCAAGTCCACCATCAGCCTATTTAGATCTTCCTTTCTTTCTCTCAAATGGGTTATACCATATGCACTATTTTTTTTAAACCAACTAGAAGTGAGAACATGAAAGGAAATAATTTTAACAGCCATTTTAATTGGTGAAATGGCATTCTGGCACGTTTCCATCATTTGGTGGATATATTAATGCCTTAGTAAAATCAAGAAAAGAATACCTGAAATGTGGTACAGAACAGTTATTATACTCACATTTAAATGAGAAATGTATTTGTTTACATTTATAGCTCTCAATGAACAAGATGACCCTACTCAATGTAGAACCAAAAAACCTACTACTCTTGGATCTGTTAGTTAACATAGACTTTAAAGACATGATCTACTCCATTCCAGTATTGATGTAAAGTTTTTATTCATTAGATTATCTTAAACTGGTATTTCCATCAATTGAGTCTACATAATTGTTCTGGTTTATCAGGCAACTAAGTGTCATAATCTTCTAAAAACTAGATCAAACCAAGAAAAGTGGCATTTCTTCCTGGTTTTGGGACTAGTTTCTGTAGATAAATGTTTACTGGTTCCCAAGCACAGGACTAGTACAAATGGGGAAGGGTAGATTCTATTATTAGAGATCATGAGAAGCACAGAGCTAACACTTGCTGACCCTTGATGCTTGAAGATGTGATTCTTCATTGCAAGATGGGATGAGACTACGTGGTGTGAAAAACATTCAGTACTATAAAATAGTTTTATAAGGGGAAATCAAGCAAGCTACAGAACGTAAAGTACCAGAATTTTATTGGATGAGGCAAAGACTGAGAAACACTAGCTGACGCAAAGTTTTTGGCATAATTCAACTAATAAGGCAGTAAGGACACATTTAGTTTTCAGATGTCTTTTTTCCTGCCCCAATAAAATAAGAAAGTTACTCATTTTCCTTTTTTTTTTTGTGATAATCTTCCAAATCTTTCAGCCATATATCAACATACCTATTTTTAATTGTTTTTACGATACTGTGATCATACTGTCACATCTTTTATAACATTTTTTTTTGCACTTAACTTTATGGGGAGCATTTTCCGATATTAGTAGTTATTCTTCCATAGCACTTTAAATGGGTACATAGTACCTAAACTTATCTAACCATTAACCTATTACTGAACATTTTTGTTTTCAAGGTCTTGCTATTATAGACTCCATATTGGCCACGACCATACCTTAGGTGGTACATAACTAACACCTTAGGAAATGCTTGTAAGGGGATTTGCTTAGTAACATACAATAAAAAATCTGAAAGATATGTTTTGAAATATTTTTTTTTGAAAGAATGAAAACTCTGCTAAATTGAAAGTCTTAGTGAAGACTTTCACTAAGAAGAGAATAGGTAACAAATTCCTGGACTTCCCTGGTGGTGCAGTGGTTGAGAATCGCCTGCCAATGTAGGGGACACGGGTTCAATTTCTGGTCTGGGAAGATCCCACATGCCACGGAGCAACTAAGCCCGCGTGCCTAGAGCCCGTGCTCTGCAACAACACAAGCCACCGCAGTGAGAAGCCCGCACTTGCCACAACTAGAGAAAGCCCGCGTGCAGCAACGAAGACCCAATGCAGCCAAAAATAAATAAGTATATTTTTTTAAAGTAAAAATAACTTAATAAAAAGAAAAAAAATTCCTATATCCTGAACATGGGGACATAGAGGGATATCAGGAAACAGACAAAGCCACAGACATCTTAAATATTGATTTTATTAAATATAGGAATGAGGTCACTTCACAGTTGAGGTTGAATGCTTTAGATTACGGTCCCAGGGGATTTGTTCTTCTGTATACTTTGTGGAAAAGTTTGAGAAAGAGAACTATAAATGAACATACAAGCATACTGAATTAAGGTACTTAACGTTCATTATGGCTTGGTTTTAAGATAATATGACTATATACCATAAAACGTCAATAAAGATATTAACAGGGTTTATTATAATAGGCTTTAATTGTTTTAAGATGTTGATTTCAATTACCAACTACTGAAAACAATGACACTATTAGAGTAAAAAAAATTACTTGGTAGTATGATTCATTTCAAGGTACAGCATTTCATACCTGGTTTGGCAATACAACCATATTGCTTATTAAAAAACAAAAATGTTGTCTTTTACCCGGTGCATGATTTAAGAGCTATACAATGTGTATTTGGCTACATTTTAAGATTTCAGCCATTGAAAACTGAGCCCTTTAAGCAAGGCATCATCAGAAGCTCTTTAAAGGTAATACATTATCACTATAGTTCTGATATACACTGAAGCCAATTTTTAAACCACACTTCTGCAACAGATACTAAAATACACATAGACAGTAAATAAACCTAAAGAGCATTTTTTTGCTGCCTAACACCTGATGGTCAAAAAGATTAGACCGGTTACTTGGAAGAAGGGCTTGACAACACAGTGCACACAACTAAAATGACAGCTAAAAAAATGGCATAAGGTTAATACAAACACACACACACACACACACACACACACACACACACACACACACACA